ACATTTGTATTCATGAGTATGATTGTTTGTATCGGTCTGGGTGTTTTCTATGTATAATATGCATGTATTTACGAAAAAAAAATATCTGTGTATTTGTATCAGTTATCTGGTACCCACAACACAAGCTTTAGCTATCTTAACTTGGGTCTAGATGGCGCTGTGTGAATTGTCCTAAGATTATTATTATTCCTAACTTCAAAAAAAAAAAATCTCCCCTCTTAAGGAGAGGAGATGGCAAGATTATTATTATTATTATTATATATATATATATATATATACTGATATATATTTGCGACGTTTACGTCCGACTGCTTCGAAGTTGGTATATAAATGAAACAAGATGACCACGATGTCGAGAATGACTTTATTATATACATACAGGATCACATCACGTCACATCACAGGGTGCGGGCGGGGGGCGGAGGGGGCGGGGGGGCGCGGCGAGCGACACCATCATCCCTCGCACATATATTAGCGACTACAACTCCCGAACGAGGTAGTCTCAACTATTGCTAACGGTTGTACCACACATACACGAATTTCAATTCGATTCTTTTTAGAAAAAACGAAGATCTATCGTTGATATCTTCATACATATATTTATATGTATGAAGGTATCCGCAGAATACCAGAGTCCTGGCACTCCGATACTACATATGCTGAGCGGAGACCTATTTGTAGGGGCGGATCGTGAATTTGTGGGGCCCTGGGCTAAATCTACTTTGGGGCCTACCTAATTACCTCTTCTTCTTTAATTACATTACTCAACTAAAAAAATACACCAACCAGAAATTCCCCGTTCCTTTCGATAGACGCGCACTTGCATTGGTTGATTCATCTCAGGGTTGCCAACCTTAGGATAGGTTTTTTAACAGTTATATTATAAATATCGTTTCAGTGGGGACTGGGGGCCCTTTGTATCCTCGGGGCCCTTAGCTATTATATAAAATTTCAAATCATTTCATTACTATTCTATAATGTGGACTCATAACTCCACTACTAGCAATGTACCATGTTAGGTTGACCTCCACGCGGTTCCACCTGGAAACCATCGTGATAAATTCCTGGTGAATTTGTCACGATGTGCTAACTGACCTGACCTCATGCTCATCTTATCATCCTCCACTGGTGTCCCGCCACCGTAAACCGTTAGCGCAGGCGGGTGCAACCAAAAAATATATAAAATATAAACACCTTTCAATATACATATATCTCTGATGCCAAAAGGTCACAGCGCAAAAAACAGACTTTTTTTCAAAAATGCTATCTAAATCATTATAATTTTTATATTAAAAAAAGACACACAGATATATCACTTATAGATTCGTACAAAAAGTAAAAATATCACAGTGAAAATTTTGATGAGCTCTCCTGCAAAATTTAGTTTGTGTCATGTGGCCCTTTGGTATTTAATCAGCGATGTTTATTTACTATTCAGCGCTCGTTATGATATATATATAGCAGGGATGTTACGAGCTCCGTATCCGTAACCGAAACTATCGGATACTGTTTGTTTGTTTGTTACTAGTACATGAAACGTATGCTCACCGTGTGGTCGTCGCTCGCCGCGCTCCTCACTCGATATAACCAACTACATATATACTATTATAACCGTACATCCACTATCTAGTTAACACCACCACCGTACTCATCAGTTACATTACAACCACTCTACGGTCCGGCCGCTCACTAGTTGATTAACTTATAATAAACTAGCTAGCCGCCCCGGCTTCGCACGGGTGTACATGTATTATATATATAAACCTTCCTCTTAAATCACTCTATCTATTAAAAAAAACTGCTTCAAAATCCGTTGTGTAGTTTTAAAGATTTAAGCATACATAGAGACAGACAGCGACAGTGACTTCGTTTTATAATGACAATGACGTATTAATTTAGGGCTATAATGATTATTTTAGTCCAAAATTAATAAGTTTATTATAAGATGGAATAATTATTAAATTTTTAATAATAATCACTCGTTACTAAGGCAAATAAAGATGTTTAAAATTTTACCGTAAATTATATATGTGAGTTCAAAGTTATATCGCCCATTCTATCGCGGTCTGTCAGAAATGCAAACTGTGAGCGGCCGGACTGTGTATACAAATATATATAATACATATATATCGTTTTCGTGGTACCACTCCAGTGGCGTAGCTACCTAGGGACTAGGCGGGGCAGTGCCCCGGGGCCCTGGAACCCTTACCACAAAATCACGATCGAACTGAACTTTTCAAAATTTCTCCCACTTCCAAAATAAGTATGACAGGTTGCAACCCGACTTTAATAATGGCAACTCAGGAGAGAGAAATTCGAAAGTCATACCTTTGGAATTCGTCTAAATTCTTTCTGTGGGTTCTGGGTGGGTCTGGCAGTGTTGGCAATTTGACGGATAGCGATATGTGCGTTTTAATAAAACTGTAACGTAGCCCCATTTTTTTATTTGCCCCGAGGCCCTTGGTTACCCAACTACGTCACTGCACCTATATATCCGTTCAAAACTCCTGCCACATGTCAACCGTTTCCCTATAGTATAGTATGGTTTAGTACGAACATCGTATGTAGTATTTGAAGACAATTTTAATATAATGAACTTGTATTATTTACAATGACCTAGCTACACACATACAGAGACCTCATTACATACAATAATATGCACAAAAATACAATTTTCAAATACAATTATTAGTCAAAGACCAACCAAAAGTTCAAGATAGAATTCAGCAAAATTTTACAAAATATATTAAAAAAAAAACAAAAACAACAGCGTCGTTTTCACTGGTTCATATAATTTGTGTGTCTGTATGTTTATAATTAGAGACCCTCGCAACAACGTTCTTAAGTTTTTTATCACTTCCCTGACATCTGAAGTTACCATTACATGTAAAACATGTAAAACATTTTCCATGTAAAACAGATTACATTTAGCTGATTAGTTACAAAATCAATACTAAACATCAACAGTCATACAGTTTTCTAGAGTAACAGGTAGAGTCTAAAAAGTAAAAAGTAGAGTTTGCGGCACAAGATGGCGGCCTATGAACAGTGACTTGGACAAAAATGACATTCTACGAGCAGCCCGCGAACGGAACGGACAAGTCGTGAGCATGTCCAATACGTTCAAGCAATGTTTCTGTAATTAAGTTTTTGTGCTCCATCTTGGTATTTGGTTGGTCTACATTTTTAATACAATATTGAAATATATCTAAACATGGTTTACTTTTAGGTAAAACATTCATAAAATCACTAATACCTATATTACACAAACACTCTGCTAAAATTTGTACAACAGAACAAAAATTACAATATATTCACGACTACAATCCCAGAGGGGGTGAGTGAAACTCATCACATGCCCACCCTCCATTGGGAACGCTACCCAAACTGTCTCAGGCTAAGTTACCGGTGTTATTCATTACCGAAGTCAGTCATCATCTTCATCATCTTTATCCCATTCAATTGGTCGGCGTAATGTTTTTCTCTTGCATTCATATCTGTTCGCAGTCATCTCGTTATTCACTCACTTTCTTACCATATCTTTCACACAGTCCATCCATCTTTTCGGCCTTCCTCTGCCCTTATAACCATCCACATTCATATGTAACACCTTCCTTAAAACATTATCTTCATTTTTCATTCCATCTTCAGTCAAAAACACAAATTAGGGGAAGAAAATTATTAGTAACGGACTTAGAGGGTCCCGTTGCTAGCAATGTACCATGTCAGGTTGACCTTCGCGAGGTTTCCCCTAGAAACAACCTTCGTGATAAATTTCTGGTGAATTCACCACTTTGGGGCCGTTCAAGTATTACGTAAGTGCTATGAGGGGCGGGGGGTGTTCGCTTTGCTTATTTTGGATGACAAGGGGTGTGGGGGAGTGTAGGTGATGATTACGTCATCGTTAGTATTTAGTTAATTTTAAACTTTCGTGTTTAATATACATTATTTAAATTATTAACCGGGTCTTACATTGACATCGCTGTTACTCCAGTCAGCTCGTGACCACGGCTAGTGCAACCTAGTCGAAACGTCGAGAGAGGTAAATACCTTTATTTGCCATAAAATTATTCGTGTTAAGACCCGGTTAATAATTTAAATAAATCGTTAGTATTTCTTACACATATGGCAACCCTCACATTGTCTGCTAAAAAAACAATATATTAATTGAAAAATGTTTACGTAAGCATGGGGGGAGGGGGTAAGTACTTTACTTACTTTTGCTGACAAGGGGGATGGGGGTAAATAATTGTAATAAATCTGCTTACGTCATACTTGAACGGCTCTTATGTACTACCTTAACCTCATGCTTATCTTATCTTCAACTGGTGTTGCCAGCGTATACCGTTAGCGCAGGCGGGTGCACCATATCAGTCATCCATAATAATTCAAATTGCCACATTTTGGCGTCACTCAGACTCGAACATACGACCTGTGTTAGACATTTCAATCACTAGGCCACGCTACACTCAAATATATCTATCTCTCTCTAGTTATCATGTTGCACCAACACGAAGAGTTATCAATTAATTTTAAAATATTAACTTTTACATTATTATGAATATAATCAGGTTTTAAAACGAATAATTTTATGGTAAACTAGCTGACCCCGCGAATACTTCACAAAGAAGTAAATTAAAAACGCTTTAAAAAAATAGGGGTTGATGTTAGTAGGGTGAGAATTGAGCTTTTTAATCTATACATATAAATAAAATTTGAGTGTCTGTTTGAAATATTGAAACAACCGTTTTACTACATGCATATGAATATAAATGCGGTACATTTTGTCTGACTGTCGTTTTGTTCCGGCTAATCTCTGAAATGGCTGGACCGATTTTGACGGGACTTTCTTTGGCAGGTAGCCGATGTAATAAGGAGTAACTTAGGCTAGTTTAATTTAGAAAAATAAAGTTAAATTCTACGCGGACGAAGTCGCGGATACGGCTAGTTTCACATAAAAAAGGTGTTTGTAAAACACATAACACATAATATATATATATATAGATTTTTTGTTACTTAATATCTGCTAATTGCAGCTAAGTTTATAAGTCCGTTAGACTACGAACAGTCTAAACTTCGTGCAATAATTCAGAATATGAAGATGGTGAGAGAACAGTGAGAGAATATATGTCAAGCAGCCGTTGTCCAGGTGAGGGGCCATCAGACCAGCTCGAGGACCTTGATGGTGCCCTGGCTGTTGGCGGCCAGCAGCGCGGGTCGGGCCGCAGTGCGCCGCCAGCACACGGCCGACACGAACTCCGACGGGTCCTCGTCGCGACGCTCGCGCTCCAGGAACCCGCGCACCGCCTCGAACCTGCGACCGCACGCCACAATCACTCAACATCATCGCATTTAACTTCATATACATTACTATCAGACCCGGCCATGCGTTGCTGCGGCTAAGGTTCTTGAATAAAACAATATTGCGACTATAAATTGAGATGTAAGCTATCCTATCTTTCAAGTTGGATCGAATTGCACACAATGTGCAAATCAAATTTGCAATCAGTTCAGTAGTTTAGGAGTCCATCGCGGACACACAACGTGACACGTGATTTTTATATATACATATTTTACTACATGTCTTTATTCTTAAAAAAATGACAAACTTTAATGAATTTTTGAATGTATACTTTAATGTGTTTGAGGCACCTCCAGTACCAGTCCACTGTAGTACACGTAGAGCGCGTTGTTCTCGTACTGTGTGAGAGGTACCTGTACGTACCTGTACGTACCTGTACGTACCTGTACGTACCTGTACGTACCTGTACGTACCTGTACGCTAGTAGCGGGCGGGACAGTCCGCTGTAGTACACGTAGAGCGCGTTGTTCTCGTACGTACCTGTACGTACCTGTACGTACCTGTACGCTAGTAGCGGGCGGGACAGTCCGCTGTAGTACACGTAGAGCGCGTTGTTCTCGTACTGTGTGAGAGGTACCTGTACGTACCTGTACGTACCTGTACGTACCTGTACGCTAGTAGCGGGCGGGACAGTCCGCTGTAGTACACGTAGAGCGCGTTGTTCTCGTACTGTGTGAGAGGTACCTGTACGTACCTGTACGTACCTAGCTGTCCGTACCTTTACGCTAGTAGCGGGCGGGACAGTCCTCTGTAGTACACGTAGAGCGCGTTGTTCTCGTACTGTGTGAGAGGTACCTGTACGTACCTGTACGTACCTGTACGTGTCTACGCTAGTAGCGGGCGGGACAGTCCGCTGTAGTACACGTAGAGCGCGTTGTTCTCGTACTGTGTGAGAGGTTCCTGTACGTACCTCGTACGAACCTGTACGTACCTGTACGCTAGTACCTGTGTACACGTAGAGCGCGTTGTTCTCGTACCTGTACGTACCTGTACGCTAGTAGCGGGCGGGACAGTCCGCTGTAGTACACGTAGAGCGCGTTGTTCTCGGAGCCGCACGCCACGTACCGCCCGTCCGTCGCCAGACCCACGAAGTTCTTCTCGTTCGCGTGACCTGCAACATTATAATGTCAACTTTACATATATATATTTATACACTGTAACATTGTATTTTTTTAATTAGCTAACATGGTGCTATCTTTGGACTGACGGTATACTGACGTGGAGCAAAAAGTCAGATCAGTTAATCGTGACTAATTCAATAAGAACTAACCACGACCGTTTCTTAAAGGAACTGCGTGGAGATGGACCAGACAAGACCCCCAATAGTGACGAGTGGTACGTCCCGTGGGACAGGCGCACGTAGTTCTCAATCCCCCAGGGTGGTGTCCAGGAACTGGACGTAGGAGACGCACCTGTGAAGGAGCGCACGCAGCGCGGCGACTCCACCCGCCAGAGCTTGAGCTGGGAGTCGGTGGAGGCGGACACGAGGGTCCTGGCGTCCAGGAACTTGACGTAGGAGACTGCCTTGCGGTGGTCGCGGAACACGGCCAGGGGGTGGCGCGGCGCGCGCAGGTCGTAGTAGTGCACGCAGTGGTCTACACACGCACACACTCACACACATTGCTATATACTATATATATTTAATAACAATTGGTTTATCAAAGCGCTTTACTGCCGATGGCAGTATATCTCTGCTCATAAAAGATTTTATTTACCATCTACTTGCTGCTCTTCAGTTTACCCAGTTAAAACACTACCGAAATTTCGGGAATTTAATAAAAATAAATAAAACGTGGTAAGATCCTGTAATTTCTCCTAATCTAAATATATATAACTCAAAAGGTGACTGACATAGTGATCTATCAACGCATAGCCGAAACCACTAGGCGGATCGGGCTGAAATTTAGCATGCAGGTAGATGTTATGACGTAGGCATCCCCTAAGAAAGGATTTTGATAAATTCCACCCCTAAGGGGATAAAGTAGGGGATGAAAGTTTGTATGAAACTTTGTTAATATTAAATCGATCGGGCTGAGACTTTGCATGCATAAAGGTGCTATGACGTGGGCATGCCCTAGAAAAGATTTTGATAAATTCCACCCCTAAGGGGATAAGTTAACACGAGCTAAGCCGCGGGCAAAAGCTAGTTGTAAGTATAATGCGTGTTTCTTTTTCGCACATATAGTAACTACAACAGTGATTGTAGTCCTTTGAAATCCCACTGTATGGGCGATACCAGATGACATCTAAGGAGGAGGAGGAGGCGTCTATACGAACGTGGCCAAGCGCGTGGCCGCATGGGGACGCACGTGTACGCACATGGACGCACATAAACGCACGTGGCCGTGCGAGAATGCACGTAGTCGTAGGAGAACGCACGTGGCCGTACGATAACGCACGTGTTGGCCGTGCAGTCACGTGCGCGGCTCACCTGCGGATCCGAAGGCGAGGTGGCAGGAGGAGCGCGGGTTGAACCGCACGCAGCACACGTTGAACTTGGCCTCGAGCGTGGCCACCGCGCGGTCCGCGTTCAGCGCCCACAGCTTCACGCGCGCGTCGTCCGAACCGGACGCCAGCAGCCGGACGTCCGCCCGGTTGAAGTGCACCGACCAGCAGCGCTTGTCGTGCTCCTGCAGCGCCCTGCACGCACACGTCACACGTCACACACACACACACACACACACACAGACACGTCCGCCCGGTTGAAGTCATCCTCATCCTTATTGTCACCAAGCGAAGAGAGAGAGAGAGAGAGAGAGAGAGAGAGAGAGAGAGAGAGAGAGAGAGAGAGAGAGAGAGAGAGAGAGAGAGAGAGAGAGAGAGAGAGAGAGAGAGAGAGAGAGAGAGAGAGAGAGAGAGAGAGAGAGAGAGAGAGAGAGAGAGAGAGAGAGAGAGAGAGAGGAAGAGAGAGAGAGGGAGAGAGAGAGAGAGAGAGAGAGAGAGAGAGAGAGAGAGAGAGAGAGAGAGAGAGAGAGAGAGAGAGAGAGAGAGAGAGAGAGAGAGAGAGGAGAGAGGGGAGAGAGAGAGGGAGAGAGGAGAGAGAGAGAGAGAGCGCGAGAGAGAGGATATACATGGAGGAGGGAGTAGAGAGGAAGAGGAGAGTGGAAGAGGAGAGGAAGAGGAGAGAGGAAGGGGAGAGAGGGAGGAGATAGAGAGGACAGAGATAGTAGGAAGAGAGGGAGGAGAGAGAGAACCCAACCGGTCCAATGGGTCTCTGAGAGAGGGGGAGAGAGATTTAGAGAGAGAAGAGAATATATTTGTGTTTTTAGAGAGAGAGAGAGAAATGATACGGAGAGAGAGAGAAGAGAGAGAGAGGAGAGAGAGGGGAGAGGGGGGGGGAGAGGAGAGAGAGAGAGGAGATAGTTAAGAGATAAACGAGAGGAGCGGCGAAAGAGTAGGAGAGCGTAGAGAGAGAGGGGGTGAGGGAGAGAGGAGGGGAGGGGGGAGAAAGGGAGAGGGATGACAGACAGAGAGCGCGCGGTACCTGGTGCGTTGTCCGGTGGCGGCGTCCCACACGGAGACGGTGCCCTCGTAGTCGGAGGAGGCGAGCACGTTCTTGTGGTAGGCGTTCCAGGACACGCACGAGATCTTGTGCGAGCACTGCATCTCCGAGCACGGGTAGTGCACGTCCACCGCGTCCCGCACCACCGCCTCGAACTCGAACACCTGCCGGGGAATGACGCCACTGTTTACTATTACACTATATAACCCACACCGGTCCAAAGGCCGGTCTCTCACAACAGATTCGAGTGACATTTACAAGAGATTATTGAATATATTTATGATTTTTTTTATAGTATAGAAGACAAATGAGCTCACAGCTCACCTGATGGTAAGTGATTACCACCGTCCTGGAGCACTCACAACATCAGGAGAATTGCAAGTACCTTCTTCTTCTTCTTAATCGGTACACTGTTGTCAGAGTGGTCGTGGTCAACATTTTGAATCACGATGAGTGAGGTTTTTGGTAATACGGCGCCAGTCGTCGCGGACTGTAGCTTTCCGGGTACATTCGTAAACTGAGCACTTAGTTGCGGCCTTGATCCGGTCTGTCCATCTCATTGGTGATCTACCACGTGGCCTGGTGCCTTCCACTTTTCCCGGCACTACGAGACGCTCTATGGAGTCATTACCACGGCGAGATACGTGGCCGAAGAAAGTCAGAATGTGTGATTGCACTGTGGTTGGTAGGCGCTGTCTGATACAAGTATTGTGCAGGTGCACCGCGTATTGTGTTTTTTAATTTACATCTATTTCTAGGAATTTTCGGACAGTTCTACAGGAATTATTATTATAATCGTGACAGAATAGAGCGATGTGAGCGGCGGTACCTTGATCCGCTTGGTGACGCCGGCGATGGCGAAGAACTCCTCGTCCTTGTCGAACTCGATGGTGGAGACGATGGTGGAGTAGTTGATGGCGTCGCTGCAGTAGGACAGCGTGGCGAGCGGTCGCAGCGCGCGGTACCGGGTGAACGCCACCAGGTCCTCGCGGAACGCGTCCAGCCCGCGCCGCTCACCGCCGCCACCGCCGCCACCGCCGCCACCACCACCGCCGCCACCGCCGCCACCACCACCGCCGTCACACGCAGGCAGACCCACCGCGCCCTCAGGCGCGCGCTGGTCACCACCTGCGCAATAGATGGATGTTTGTTACTATGTAATTTAACCTATACATATAAATAAAATTAGAGTGTCTGTTTGTAATATTAAAATAACCGTTTTATACACCAAATTAACATTGTTTACAATTTTTGTCTGTCTGTATGTCTATTTGTTCCGGCAAATTTCTGAAATGGCTGGACCGATTTTGACGGAACTTTTAGGTAGCTGATGTGATAAGGAAAAAGTAAAGTTACATTCCACGCAGACGAAATCGCGGGAACAGCTAGTCTTTTAACAATACTTTTTTTTTCCTTTTATTAATATTAGGATTGCGCTTGCTCTTACCTCATCTGATGGTAAATGATGGCAACACCTAGGATGTAGAGCGCTCACCCAGAAGATATCTATTCATTATAGACTTGAAGAATCCGGGGTTGTATTGTATACTAAACACGAACTAACAATAAATAACAAAAATTTCTGAATATGTTTGTTGATGTATGATGTTTGTTTCTCTTTCACGCAAAACCTATTGAACCGATTCTGATGAAACTTTACAGTAATATCGTGCATACTTTAGTAATAATTATAATATAGTAATTCTTACATATCACTATAGTTCTAACAAAAGACACGTTGCGCTTATAGTCAACGAAATATTTGCTACGAAATTCATTTCTCAGATCGCCGTGAAGACGAACTTTTGTACACACAACGCCGTCGCAAACTAATTCAATCAATCAGCTGATTATCCAAGATGGCCGATAAATGTTAAATTGCCATTAAGTTAATTTCGTTTCATGAAAAACACTAAATGTATTAATTCGTAAAAAAAATTGTTAATCCCGAGATTTTCGGGACCAAAATTTCGGCAGGGATCCCGAGATTCTGAAAACCGGGTCAAAATTTTGGTCACATCCTCTAGTCGTGTCAAGGTATTATATATATACATATATAGTGAGCTGCTACCTATATCTGTCTGTTCTGTCCGTCTGTAATCTCACCTGCGGCGCTGTTGGCTCGCGACTCGTGCGGGCCCTGCGGCACGTGGTCGTCGCTGGCCGCCGCCGGCTTGTGACCTCCCGGGGTCCCGGGGGGGCCGGGCGGTGCTTGGGGCCCGGGGGTCCCCAGGCCGGGGCCCTCCACGGGGGTGTCGGGGGCGGCGGGCGCGGGGGTGGCGTCCCCCGACCCCGGGAAGTACAGCTCGTCGGCGCGGTGCGCGAAGTAACACTACACATATGTTATTCATTCATTCTATTTCAGTCAACTCTATCACCATGGACGTAAGGTTCAAATTGTTACGTCGGAGTGCAATGGTACCTGAACGAAGTCGTCGAAGTGCGCAGTGAGTCTCCGCCAGCGTGCGGCGAGTGCGTCCCCGCCCCCGCCCCCGCCCCCCGCACCCCCCGCGAAACTCTCCTCCGACGAGCCGTCCGGACTACCTGCCACACACGACGACCACACCACATGTATAATATTTATATATATCTTTATATTTATGTATGAATATTATTTTATAGAAATTAATATATATATTTTGCCTTACATATATTTTTTGACATATATCATTCATATTATTATACTGTCGATAATCTTTCTCTGCACCACTCATGGTCACGGGCCGACCGGGCCCCGCGACCCCCGTGGGTCCCGTGGGCCCCGCCCCCCGCGACCCCCGCAGCCAATAGTTACCGAGTCCGTGCGTGGCGCTGTCGCCCACGCTGCCGGCGAGCGCGGTGAGCTCGGCCCGCAGCGCCAGCATGGCGTCCCCCGCGACCCCCGTGGGCCCCGCGCCCGCCGTGACCCCCGTGGGCCCCGCCCCCCCCGCGCCCGCCGCCAGCCCCGCGGCTCCCGCGCGCAGCTCCTTCAGCGTCTCCGCCACGTGCTCCATGTCCTGCCGACAGATATTTCTTCCGTTACGAATCGATTAATGATATATTGTAAAGAAATGATGTAACGCTGAGTATTCGTGCACCTTGGAGACGAGCGCGGCCTCCCTGTTGAGCTGGTGCAGCTGCTGGGCGCGGTGGCGGTGCAGCTGCGCCAGGAACTCGTACAGCAGGCGGTGGTGCGCGGCGGCGGACTCGGCCTCCAGCAGTCTCTTGCGGCGCGCCAGCACGTCCAGCATGCCGTCCACGGCCGCCAGCGGCAGGCGCCGCGCCTCCGCCGCCACCAGCGCCCGCAGCCGCGCCCCGTCCGCGGCCGGCGCCTCCTCCGCGCCCGGGGCGGAGCCCCCGCAGCCCGGCCCGGACCCGTCGCCGCCCGCCGCGCGCCGCCGCCGCTTCTCCACCTGCGGCGCGCGCGACACTTACCACTACTTACTACCCGACAATTTGCTCCTTCTTAATGATTTTACATTCATAAAAAAAGTCGACAAATTTGGTATACATATATTTTTCGAAGATTTTTGATAAAACGGTAAGAGCGTAGTAGGTCTGTAATCTGTACATATAAATAATTGTAGTGTCTGTTTGTAATAACCGTTTTTTAATACATATATGCCTACACTTGTAATGTTTCTGTCGCCACTTGAGACCCTTCCGTTAGTACGTAGTTCCGTCTCCACTAAAAAATCACTCAGGGGGGCAAAGAATTTGTTAGTAATGTGGACTCATTACCCCATTACTAACAATGTACCATGTCAGGTCGACCTCCACGCGATTCCCCCTGAAAACCATCGTGATAACTTCCTGGTGAATTTGTCACGATGGGCTAACTGACCTGATGTTATGTTCATCCTATCATCCTCCACTGGTGCCCCGCCAGCGTAAACCGTTAGCGCAGGCGGGTGCGCCATTCTATTATCATCTATAAAAAAAACCCCGGAGTTCTAGCAATAAGCAGTAGAGGTACACCTTGGGCTTTTAGCCGGTAGGAGTCCAGCAGTACCCGCTCGTTACCCCTGGAGCGGATACCCCTCAATGACGGATTTCCCCAAGACAAAAAAAAAAGTTGTGTGCCGGTGTTACCAATTCATTGAGCAGGAAGTTGGGGAAGATATGTTCCCTGGAAGCGAGCGCTGCGCCACACTTGGGGCAGCGGCGGTGCAGCTCCACCGACTTGGCGATGCAGGCGTAGCAGAACGAGTGGCCGCACCGCGTCACGTACGCCTCCTCGATCAGCTCGAAGCAGACCGGGCACAGCAGCTCGCAGTCCTGACACACCAGTCCCAAATGCACATAATTGTAACACTCAACACTTACAACAATTGTTGTAAAAAATTTCAACAATATTTTTGCATCTACAGACATCAAACATACAATCAATCTATATTGACTAAAATTTTAGATATAAATGTATGTGAGAACATACATTTATATCTAAAATTATATCTATATTAAAATATATCTATATTTATATCTATATATGTATATGTTGATTAAAAATTGGAAATATGAACACTATCTACATATAAATAAAATCAGAGTGTCTGTTTGTAATATTGAAATAACCGTTTTTTACTACATACATATGAAAATAAATGCAGTACATACACCAAAATATAATTTTTTAGTCTTTGTCTGTCTGTCTGAAAGTTTGTTCGGTTAATCTCTGAAATGGCCGGACCGATTTTGACGGGACTTTCATTGGGAAGTAGCTGATGTAATAAGGACTAACTTAGGCTACTTTTATTTTAGAAAAATAAAGTTAAATTCCACGCAGACGAAGTCGCGAGAACAGCTTGTTTTCAATATAATTTGAACTGACCACCTGACAAAAGCTCATACGAGTGAATAAAAAAAAAGTTGCATATGTAGGGAGGTTACCTTGTCCTCGAGGGAGCCCCCGAGGCCTCCGAGCGCGGAGGCGGAGGACGCGGCGCCCGCCGCCGTCCCCGACATGCTGCCGTCCACCTGCTACCTTACTGATCACAAACAAGTACAACATAAATACTAACAGGTTCTTGCAGTTTAGCATACTGCCTTACTTCAGATGGTCATAGGTTTTATTCCTACAATTGTGATTATAATTGTTTGTCGGTCTGTGTGTTGTGTAGGGGCCATCCATTAATCACGTGAGGCTTGAAAGGGGGTAGGGGTATGACAAAAATCACACGAATATCACAAGGGGGGAGAGGGGGGGGGGTCTAGTAAAACAATCTGCAACCTTTCTGTCTAGTCATTTTTATCATGGTCTTTAATTTCAGAATAAAATATCATTATACTTTATATCTGTAGTTAACAATATTATTCTAAAAATTTTTTAATTCTTTGTAGGTACTAAAAATACATGTGATGTTGGATGGGGATGGGCGGGAGGTAGTTTTAAACCTCACTACATATCACCAAGGAGGAGACGGGGTTAAAAATGCTTAAAAAAAGATCACATGAAGAATGGATGGCCCCCTAGTTGTCCAGTAGCTATACCACAAGCTGTGTTAGCTTATGACTAGATGGCACTGTGTGACGAATTGAACCTGTTACCATTGGAAATAAGGCAGTGTGGTAAACTGCTAGACCACCGAGTATGCCACTCATACAAATATATGTTATAGGTTTAAAGAATTAATCATTCATCAAAAATTCATCTACAATTGCAATATCCTTGTTCAACACATTTATGATTATTTTTTAAACACATGTAAAATTCAAAATATCTTTATTCGTGTAGGTCTATTATAGGACTCTTATGATATGTCAAATCTACCATCAGTTCAGAATGATTTTCGAGATGAGAAGAACTGCAAAGAAACTTAGCTCGTAATTTTTTTTAAATAAATGTTGTACATGTTTACAATAATACAGTATAAGTAGGAGTTACAAGTTTTGTTGTAGTAATAAGAAAAAAGACTAGGTAAACAGAGAAAATATATTAATATAGACTACTGACAATTAGAAATAGAAAGAAGGAATTGAAGTATCAAAAACAAGAATGTAATATAAAAGAACTATAAATTTAAATACAAATTTAGAATATAAAATACATATTTGATTAGCCAGTTACAACAAGTTTTAAGTGTTGTTGTCAGTTTTATAGGAATAAACCAATTATGATGACATTTTTGTTTAGTCCAAAAGTTGTCATGACTGAGATGGTGCTTACATACAATTTGTTAAGAGTTTTTTTTATTAAGGAGTAGAATAGAAAATGCTTTATTCAAATAGATTTAAATTAAGCACTTTTGTATAGACATAACATTTTTTTTTATCTACCGCTCATTTGGATAATTGTCTAATCACAAGAAACTTGTGTGTTGCTCTTTTAAATAATCCTTGTAAGTTTACATTTACAAGTCAAAATGTGTGAATACAAACTACCAACAAGCACTAATTTATTTGGGTCAAATATAAAAACACAATAAGATTAAATCAGTCGTAGTGATAAGAGCAGACCAGTCCCTTTTAGGACCATATTTTAGGAAGGCCAATGAAGAGTTTTAATATTACTTAAAACTTTTAATTCTATAATTTCAATCAAGATTTTAATAATTTTTTTGGTACTGACTGACTACTTTTAGAGTAATGTGCATTTCTAGAAAACAACATAAGACCTAACTACATGAGTTTCTGTACACCACACGGCAACTGTTGCCGCGTATTTATAGCTGACAATCAATAACTATCGATTCACACGTGCTCCATTTACCTACTGACCAGAAAATGTATAAGCTAGTAACTTCAGGTTATAATATGTACATGTACAATTTCATGGGATTCTTACAGTATAAAGGCCGTTGACTGTGAGGAGATCACCGGAGAATCATGCTAGTACACGATGCCGGCTGAGGCCTCACGGCAGCCGTCCAGCTATCCCAGCACACGATAAACAAATCAACAACCAATTGCGTACCAATTTATTACACTATTACTGACAGAGACAGCACACACGGAACTCGAAAACCGGTACACGTAGTCTGTTTTGTTCATAAAACACAAATTACTGACAAAATCCATTCTTTAATAACAAACACCAACATATTTCCAGATTTTCTTCGAAACTTCGAAAACTTGCAAACAGCATCCCCTGATAAAAGTGACACTTCACATTTAGTGTAGCAATCAGTGAAAATATTGTCTCGTCATCATATATGCGTTCTGTAGAAAGAAATTCCATATCCATAATTATGTAAGTTTTAACCTTATGTCTTTAATTTCGATTACTGTAAGTCGTAATGAATAAGAAACAAAGCAAAAAAAATTAATAATATTTGAAAATATTATTGTAACTGGTAACATAATATACAGAGCCATCTATTGAATTTCTGTCGTACCTTGATGTGAACTGCTTGATCGACGCCAAGGGTACAGAAACTGTTTTACCGATAGAACATACGCCATTTTGCTATTACTGAAAGAAAAGTGCATTATCTTTCGTCAACAATGTACAGTGAAGTGAAATGTTTGCGTGATTTTTGTGGATTAAACGATGTGTAAGGCAGATTTTATCCCTACAGAAAAAAACTAGGATTATGGATGATCCTAATGAGGAGCTCAGGGTCGTTCCCGGTGAGTCAGACGCTTCAAAATCACGCTTTAATTGTGACAGTACTACGAGCGAAGTCTAATAATGGTTACCTTCCCCGGTTTCAGAGCTCTACTTTTTGATAGCGAAATTTCTCTCTGGAGGCCCTCTGAAGGAAACTGCGAAGGTAAATTGGATAGAAATACTTGTAAATAATATTTATAGTGTAAAAAATTGTCTAATTGTAACTTTTTCTGTTACAGACTTTGTTGAAAGAGCTCGAGAGTGTAGAGGTAAGTTTGAGCTTTTCCTATTGCCGGGTTGCGAGCTTATGTTGTTTTGATGTTGAACGCACGTGGTAGTTGCTGTCAAAGTTCCTGAAAGTTTACTGAAAAGTTTTTGTACTATCCGCATTGGTGCAGGTGCTGCCTCGGCGGCTCGACTGGGAGGGCCACGAGCACGCCCAATCCTACAATGAATTGGTGAGTTTTTCAGCGTTTTCTTCGCGGAAAGTGTGTTTATTTACGTTTTGTTCAGTGTTTATCGAAAAGAAATAATTAAATTGTGGATAAACGATAAAATATCTTAATACGTGTTTCGCATAGAAATGGTCTTTAAAATTCAGTGGAATATCGTGTAAAGTGTTTCTGTAGTGTTTTAGTTAAAATAAATAAGATTTTTGACGATTTGCGAAAAAATTGATATATCATCAATAGAAAGATTGGTGTTAGCGTAATTAGGAATGTTGTCATCTCTTTCCGTCACACGGATTTTAGGCGGAATAGTATTGTCTGTTTCACTCACATCTACGAAGTCGATCTCCGCACGCTGTAGTTGGCTGTGGCGTGTTGCGAGCATGGCCGATACCGCGCGACGCGGTCGTGGCGCCAATTTTTAAATACGCGTTTTTAGGTCAAGACCACATGTCTATACTAGCTGACCCGGAAAACGTTCTTTTGCCATATGAATTAATATTTATATTAAAAAGTAGAGATGGTGGTGGATTGTTGAAAATATTATGTAGTATTTATTTTTTTATATTAAATTGAAAAAAAAAAATATTTTATCTAAGAATAAAATCAAAACTTATGAGTGGTCTACACTCACCCTTATTGTTATGGGGTATAAAAAATCTCAACCTATTCTCAGAGCTGTCTGTCTATAAATATAAAATTTCATCAAAATCAAGCCGTTTCATAGAAGTATAACAACATTGTGACACAAGAATTTTATATATATATATAGATGAATGAACAGAATTATTTGTTACTAGCTGTTCCCGCGACTTCGTCCGCTTGGAATTAAATTTATTTTTTTTAAATAAAAGTAGCGTAAGTTACTCTTTATTAAATCAGGTATCTGCCAAAAAAAGCCGTTTCAGTGATTAGCTGGAACAAACAGACAGACAGACAAACAAAAATTGTAAAAAATATTATTTTGGTGTATGTACCGTATTTATATTCATATGCTACCTGCATATGAATATATATATATATATATAATATAGTAAAAAACAGTTATTTCAATATTACAAACAGACACTCCAATATGTATGTATAGATATAGTGTTGTAGTATAAATCAACATAATCCTTTAGAAAAAGTCAATAGTATAAAAATTTACAATAAGATACCAAAGGATATACATCATATTTACTGAGCATGGCCACTAACTAAATGATTACTTGAATGACGAGTGTGCATGGCAATAGTTGTTCATGCATTGATTTTTCGTTTAATGTTAGACATAGACACCTATATAGTAGTATTTCAATTGAGTTTCTTGCCAGTTCTTCTCAATTGGATTTATATATCCAACTGGACGGTAGGAAAAAAGAAAATTATAATGTAGTTTTTTAATGAAAAAAAAGTTAATTTTATTAACCAAGACAAAGTCAATAAATGTGTCTATAATTTAACAAATGGTATAACTTCAGGCGTCGCAATACAACGATATGCCGTGGACGCGGCTGGCGTCCATATGCAAGCGGGCGCTACAGCTGGCGCGGACCGCCAGCATCGCCGCACACTCCTCACCGGACGGCGCGACCACCAGCGGGGGCGCGCTCGCCACCACCACCAGCTCCACCACGCTCACCAGCTCCACCACAGTCGCCACAACCGCCACAGCCACTACCAGCGGCGCCAGCACGTCGGGGACGGACGCGGTGCTGCAGCTGACGGCGCGGCTGTCGCTGCTCAGCGAGTCGCTGGTGCGGCCGAAGCCCAAGTACGCTTACTACAAACAAGATCACAGCTTGGGTGAGTTCGTCTTAATTTATGGTAAAATTAGCTTTATCTGCGACTTCGTCTGCGTGGAATTTAACTTGATATTTCTAAAATAAAAATATAGCCTAAGTTACTCCTTATTACATTGGCTATCTGCCTATAAAAGTCCCGTTAAAATCGGTCCAGCCATTTTAGAGATTAGCCGGAACAAATAAACAAAAAGTTTAAAAAAATGATATTTTGGTGTATGTACCGTATTTATATGCATGTAGTAAAAAACAGTTATATCAATATTACAAACAGACACTCCAATTTTATTTATATGTATAGCTAATGAATTTTTAATAAACCCAATTTCAAATTGAGAGTTTATTCTCACTTGGACTTGGTCCAAACCTTTTTATTTAATTTGAAAACTTTTGCCTCGAAACAAAATATGCAAAAACAGCTTAAAAATAAATGAAAGTTTAAAATAAGATTTCAAATTATTTTTCAATTTTGCTTCAAAACGCACGAAAGCATGCGCCAGATCTTTCTCTTTTTATGAATCTCTACATGCGATCTCTTTCTGATGGAGATGTTCAGTGGATTACATATATAGCAGTAAATATAATGTACTTTCGTTCCAGTCGCAGTTGGATGTTACATACAAACTGTTACTTAGCAACAATACTTATTTTAAATGTGATGGATTATAGTTTTTCTACATTAATCAATGTGCCTAATACGGTCCTTTAATCCATTACATTGAAGACACTATCTCTACATTTAAATCTCTACATTTAAATAACATACATAATATAAAACAATATACAGAAGAGTAAACAATCAGAACAATATGAATAGTAAAAAACACTCGCTTGAAGGAACATTCGTGTGAAGGTAGTAAATGTTGGGTGTTGCCAGTGCGTTGGCTGACGGTTCACGAGTCATTAACAAAGTACGACTCGAGGCCGAAAGGCCTTTTCTGATTTTGACGTGTTCAGATATCTTACATCTTGTAGTGATGAATATTCATAATTAAAATGCGCGAGATATTTCTCTTTGTCTATCTGTATGTCGAACTAAAAGAACGTTATGAAGGAGAGTTCGTGTGAAGGTCAAATTTGGTCGTTGCAGTTATTCGGCGTCTGATGGCTCGTTACTCATATACAAAGTACGACTTTTCTGATTTTGACGTGTTCAGATATCTTACATCTTGTAGTGATGAATATTCATAATTAAAACTCGCGAGATCTTTCTCTTTGTCTATCTGTATGTTGAACTGAGAACCTTATGAAGGAGTGTTCGGGTGAAGGTCAAATTTGGTCGTTTGCAGTCCGGCTTCAGTTGTAGTGATCTACAAGATGCGGGACATCTGAACACGTCACAATCAGAGAATGAACACTTATCAAAATGTAATCTCGCGTAATCTTTATCTGCTTGCGATCTGTTTCTGGGCGATGCGGTGCGGTGCGGTGCGGTGCGGTGCGGTGCGGTGCGGTGCGGCGCGGTGCGGCGGCGGCAGTGCGGCGGCTGGCGCGGCGCGAGTGCGGGTTCGGTCCGGCGGCGGCGGCGGGCGGGCGCGGCGGGCCGGCCGTGCTGCCGGCGCGGCTGCTGTCCGGGCTGCGGCTGCAGCGCCGGACGCTCGGACACCTCTCCGCCGTCTACTGCCTCGTCTTCGACTGCACCGGACGATACGTCGTCACCGTGAGTGATATACTATTACGAGGAATTGTATGAAGGTGGCGCCGGTGTCGGAGAGTGAACACGGTGGCGTAGCTATCTAGGCTGGACGGTGCCCCGGGGCCCTCGAGATCAGGCCCTCGAATCCTTACCAGAAAATCTCCCATTTTCTAAATAAATATACAGGTTGCAACCCGACTTTAATCATGGCAACTCAGTTGAGAGAAATTCGAAAGTTATACCTTCGGAATTCCCATAAATTTCTCTAAGTTGGCAGAAGTGTCAATTTGACGGATAGCTATGTGTGTTTTAATAAAACTGTAATGTAAGACCTCATTGCACAGCAGTGGGAGTCCAATTTTTTTATTTGTCCTGGGGCCCTTGGTTACCTAACTACGCCACTGGTTGAAGAGTGGTCGTCTATTATGGTATGGGCATGTAATGCATACGAATGAAGATAATATTTTAAGGAAGATGTTACATATGAATGTGGATGGTTGAAAGGGTAGAGGAAGGCCGAAAAAGAGATGGATGGACAATGATTATTTAACTTTCTAATTTGATATTAATTGAATAACTGGTTTAAATTTGTCGTATCTGTATTAAAGAATGGCATTATAGAAATCATAAATAAAAAAACCTAAATGAGCTTTCCATTACTCGACACTAGAGCGCCATCTATACTTAAATATTTTTTTAACTAATTTTAAACAGACCATGGGAAAGACGATATGATAAGAAAGAGAGTAAATAACGAACTGCGAACAGGGATGAATGGAAGGGAAAAACATTACGCTGAGCTCATATATGGGATAAAGAATGATGTTGATGCATGTCGTTTTGGTCCTCGGAGCCGGATCGCGAGTGAGATGTGAACGTGGTCGGCGCGTGTGGTACATAGCTTCGGTCCTCGGAGCGGGCTGACGGACGAGAGGTGTGCAGGGCGCGGACGACCTGCTGGTGAAGGTGTGGAGCGCGGCGGACGGGCGCCTGCTGGGCACGCTGCGCGGCGCCGGCGCGGAGATCACCGACGTGTGCGCCTCCGACGACGCCGCGCTGCTCGCCGCCGGCTCCGTCGAGCGCCTCGTGCGCGTCTGGTCAGTGGCCCCCCGCCCCCCGCCCCCCGCACACACCGCCCCCCGCACACACCGCCCCCCGCACACACCGCCCCCCGCACACACCGCCCCCGCTCACACAGATCACCGACGTGTGCGCCTCCGACGACGCCGCGCTGCTCGCCGCCGGCTCCGTCGAGCGCACACACCGTGCGCGTCTGGTCGAGTGGCCCCCCGCCCCCAGCCCCCCGCCCCCCGCACCCCGCCCCCCCCCCCCCCCGCACACACCGCCCCCGCTCACACAGATCACCGACGTGTGCGCCTCCGACGACGCCGCGCTGCTCGCCGCCGGCTCCGTCGAGCGCCTCGTGCGCGTCTGGTCAGTGGCCCCCGCCCCCCGCCCCCGCACACACCGCCCCCCGCACACACCGCCCCCCGCACACACCGCCCCCGCTCACACAGATCACCGACGTGTGCGCCTCCGACGACGCCGCGCTGCTCGCCGCCGGCTCCGTCGAGCGCCTCGTGCGCGTCTGGTCAGTGGCCCCCCGCCCCCCGCCCCCGCACACACCGCACACACCTCTCCCGCTCACACGCACCACCCCCGACACGCCGCGCCCGCGCCGCTCCGTCAGCGCCCGTGCCCACACACCGGACACCACCCCCACACACCGGCACACACCGCCCCCACACACCGGACACCACGTGTGCCCCCGCACACCGGACACCACCCCCGCACACACGTGCACACACATCGCCCCCCTCTCACACACCACCCCCGCACGCACCCCCGCCCCCGCACGCACCGCCCCCGCACACACCGCCCCCGCACGCACCGCCCCCGCACACACCGCCCCCGCACGCACCGCCCCCGCACACCACTCCTTTACACCCGTACACACCACCCCCGCACACACACCTTAGTTTCATAACATTAATTCATATGTATGTTAGTCTATAAGGTATTTATAATATGTCCTAATTGCCTAAAATATATAAATAAAAAGCACGAGGCCATCATAATTGATAAATAAATGAATAAATTATTTAATTTGTCAATTCAAACAGAAAATTATGAAATTTCCTCTTTATAATTCAAAATCATTTATAAAACATGAAGTTATTAGTAGTAATATAAACGATGATGTTTTCACTCCAGCCTCCCTTATACTTCCAAAATTTTGCCTGTATACGGATACGACGAAATAATTGTGTAGTGTTGGAATATGGTATGTGAGTTTATAGGGACTTATTTTTCAAGCTATTGAACCGATTTTGAAGATTATTTTAGTGTTAGATAGCCTATTTATAGAGGAAGACTATTATAGGTTATCTGACATAGTGTAGATCACAGTTCTCGATCTTTTTTGTGTTGTAGACCCATTGTGGTATATTTTTCGGTTTTGGGTACACCTCTCCATTCTTAGCTGGTATTGATTTTTTGTAAATTTCTAACTGTAGTAAAGTTTAGTGTTGAAAATATAAAGTAAAAACAAGATGACCGCTGTCATAGACCCCTGGGGGTCGATATAGACCACTTCGGGGATCACCGGTGCAGACGAGTCTGCGCAGGCCAGCTAGTTATTGAAGCGGAACATGAGAGCATGGGAGTGTCGTGTAGTGGTTGAGAGCGTGTGCGGTGCAGGTGCCTGGCGACGGGCGCTCCGCTGGCCGTGCTGGCGGCGCACGGCGGCACCATCACCGCGGTGCACTGGGCGGCCGGCGCGCGCTGGCTGGCCTCCACCTCCACCGACGGCTCGGTCGCCTTCTGGTCGCGCTCGGGCGGGCAGTTCGCGGCGCAGCCCGTGCAGTACGTGGAGCGCATGCGGCCCGGCGCTTGCCACATGATCTGCGCGGCCTGGTCCGCGGGCGGCGCCTTCCTGGCGGCGGGCAGCGCCGACCACCACGTGCGCGTGTACGCGGTGGGCGGGGAGGAGGCGGGGGGGGCGCCGCGCCGCGTGCTCGAGCTGGCCGTGCACGGGGACGCCGTCGACAGCCTCGCCTGGGCGCACCGCGGCCTGCGCTTCGTGTCCGGCAGCAAGGACGGCACCGCGGCCCTGTGGCAGCTCCACGCCACGCAGTGGAGGCACCTGCTGCTGCGGCCCGCCGCGCCCGCCGCCTCCGCGGCCTCCGCGCCCGACCACAAGCGGCTCAAGGTACCACCACCACCACCACCACCACCACCACCACCACCCCCGCGGCCCTGTGGCAGCTCCACGCCACGCAGTGGAGGCACCTGCTGCTGCGGCCCGCCGCGCCCGCCGCCTCCGCGGCCTCCGCGCCCGACCACAAGCGGCTCAAGGTACCACCACCACCACCACCACGACCACCACCACCACCACCACCGCGGCCCTGTGGCAGCTCCACGCCACGCAGTGGAGGCACCTGCTGCTGCGGCCCGCCGCGCCCGCCGCCTCCGCGGCCTCCGCGCCCGACCACAAGCGGCTCAAGGTACCACCACCACCACCACCACCACCACCACCACCACCACCGCGGCCCTGTGGCAGCTCCACGCCACGCAGTGGAGGCACCTGCTGCTGCGGGCCGCGCCGCGCCCGCGGCCTCCGCGCCCGACCACAAGCGGTACCACCACCTCCGCCACCACCACCACCACCCCCACCAACCGCGGGTGGCACCACCACCACCTGCTGCTGCGGCCCGCCGCGCCCGCCGCCTCCGCGGCCCCCGCGCCCACCACCACCACCACCACCACCACCACCACCACCACCGCGGCCCTGTGGCAGCTCCACGCCACGCAGTGGAGGCACCTGCTGCTGCGGCCCGCCGCGCCCGCGGCCTCCGCGCCCGACCACAAGCGGCTCAAGGTACCACCACCACCACCACCACCACCACCACCACCACCACCACCACCACGCACACCTGCTGCTGCGGCCCGCCGCGCCCGCCGCCTCCGCGGCCTCCGCGCCCGACCACAAGCGGCTCAAGGTACCACCACCACCACCACCACCACCACCACCACCACCACCGCGGCCCTGTGGCAGCTCCACGCCACGCAGTGGAGGCACCTGCTGCTGCGGCCCGCCGCGCCCGCCGCCTCCGCGGCCTCCGCGCCCGACCACAAGCGGCTCAAGGTACCACCACCACCACCACCACCACCACCACCACCACCAGCGCCACGCCACGCAGTGGAGGCACCTGCTGCTGCGGCCCGCCGCGCCCGCCGCCTCCGCGGCCTCCGCGCCCGACCACAAGCGGCTCAAGGTACCACCACCACCACCACCACCACCACCACCACCACCACCACCGCGGCTGTGGGTCCACGCTGGATAGGCACCTGCTGCTGCGGCCCGCCGCGCCCGCCGCCTCCGCGGCCTCCGCGCCCGACCACAAGCGGCTCAAGGTACCACCACCACCACCACCACCACCACCACCACCACCACCACCACCACCACCACCACCGCGGCCCTGTGGCAGCTCCACGCCACGCAGTGGAGGCACCTGCTGCTGCGGCCCGCCGCGCCCGCCGCCTCCGCGGCCTCCGCGCCCGACCACAAGCGGCTCAAGGTACCACCACCACCACCACCACCACCACCACTGTGTGGCAGCTGCATCTGCTGCTGCGACCTACTGCATGAGACATTGATTGATGACTCTCAACAACCACCGACTCGAAATACACTCCATCACCACCACTTGAAATACTCTCTACCACCATCACCGACTCAAAGTATACTCTACCACCACCACTATCAACTCGAGGTACGCCCCACCATCACCACCATTAACTCCAGGTACGCATAGAAATTCATATATTCAAACCCAACAATATTTACTCCAATACTTTGGGACATGTGTATTGTACTCCACTGTTAACTGGCGCCTGTTGCAGGTCACGATGGTGTGCTGGGACAGCAGCGACGCGTACGTCATGACCGCCGTCTCCGACAACACCATACGCGTAAGTACAACACCATACTCAGACCAGCATCCACCATCATCCCCACACTGGTCCATGACCTTAGTCTGTTCCAACAAGCAACAGACGAACCATGTATAAGGTATGAATGAATGAATGTATGAATGAATGAAAAACTCTTTATTGTTCCTATCACAGGAAGAAATTAACAATTACATAAATTAATTAAAAATTAATATGTAGGCCAAATATAAAAAAAAATACAATATAGAAGTAACAATGGGCGGCCTTATCGCTAAATAGCGAAGGTAAGGTATAATTTTTAGTATGTGTACAACACAAGATGTAGTCCACTTTCACTAGAGTTACATCTGACTTGATTTGTGTTGGCCCTATCTTTAAATGCCTCGAAGAACTAACTTTCTGTTTGGCGACGGATTCTTGTCATTGATGATGCCTTGTTCAGAGGCCAAGCACGTATTGCAATATGCGCGCAGGTCTACGAGTGTGTATGTGGGTGTATGTGTGAGTGTGTGTAGGTGAATGTGTACCAGTATGTGTGTGGTGGGTGACCGAGTGTGTGTGTGTGTGTAGGTGTGGTGCGCGGCGCGGGGCGTGCAGACGAGCAGCACCGAGCGAGTGTGAGTGTGTGTGTGTGTGTGTGTAGGTGTGGTGCGCGGCGCGGGGCGTGCAGACGAGCGTGCTGCGTGCAGTGTCCGAGTGTGTGTGTGTGTGTGTGGGTGTGGTGCGCGGCGCGGGGCGTGCAGACGAGCGTGCTGCGTGCAGTGTCCGAGTGTGTGTGTGTGTGTGTGTGTGTAGGTGTGGTGCGCGGCGCGGGGCGTGCAGACGAGCGTGCTGCGTGCAGTGTCCGAGTGTGTGTGTGTGTGTGTAGGTGTGGTGCGCGGCGCGGGGCGTGCAGACGAGCGTGCTGCGTGCAGTGTCCGAGTGTGTGTGTGTGTGTGTGTAGGTGTGGTGCGCGGCGCGGGGCGTGCAGACGAGCGTGCTGCGTGTGTGTGTGTGTGTGTGTGTGTAGGTGTGGTGCGCGGCGCGGGGCGTGCAGACGAGCGTGCTGCGTGCAGTGTCCGAGTGTGTGTGTGTGTGTGTAGGTGTGGTGCGCGGCGCGGGGCGTGCAGACGAGCGTGCTGCGGGGCCACGCTGACGAGGCGTACGTGCTGGAGCCGCACCCGTCGCTGAGCGGCGTGCTGCTGTCCGCCGGACACGACGGACAGCTGTTCGTGTGGGACGCGGCCGCCGCCCAGGTACATACCCCGCCACGTACTCTACTCTCTTCACACGAATTTAGACATGATCTACAATGATATAAATTAATAAAGTAAGGAAAAAAATTAATACAAAAATTTTTACGTTGTGATATATTAATTGCAAATCTACACGTAGGATAGTAGATTGTGCCAGTGTACGTTAGATAAGTCACTTTATCTAACGACACTTAAGTCACGCAGTTGTTAATATATATATATAGTCTTAGTAATTAGTCTAATGTAGAGTAAATCAAGAGTTAATACACAATTTCCACCCTACTGTGTGTGTTTACACCACCACCTCCTGTCATCTCAAAGTTGATAAGTCACTAAAACGTTCTACATGAATAAATGATTTTTGATTTAAATTGATTTGATTAAGGTTTAAATTAGGGTGAATGCGATGACAGCTATCATAAATATCAAAAGAAATAATGTCTTCAACAGCCATAGACAGTGATCCGGCTCGAAGGACTATAAATACATGTTTGTAGTTGTTACGACTATTTTTACAATAAATCAATGTTGATAATCTGTATATATAAAAATTATATGTCACGTTGTTCGTCCGCGATGGACTCGTAAACTGCTAAACTGATTGCAAATTTGATTTGCACATTGTGTGCAATTTGATCCAACTTGAAAGCTAGGATAGCTTACATCTCAATTTATAGTCGCAGTATTGTTTTATTCAAGAACCTTAGACACAGCAACGCGTGGCCGGGTCTGCTAGTTGTCTAGTGGTCATATTGATAGTCGAGTCACACATACGCTAATCGCCATTTCCGTATTCTTACAAAGATAAATGTCAATAAAAATACAGTTAAACCACTAACCAATTTTTATATTTTTCCAATTGAAACTACCATTCGATAGGGATTAAAGGACATTATTATTAAAAAAAAATCTACAGGGAGGTCATTAAAACCAAAAACCATCTTAATAGCGCCTTTTACCTGTGGTGCCATCTAGTTTGCACGAAGCGAACTAAATTTACTTCCCTTTTAACTATTTTAACCAGCTCTAGTACCGTTTTGATCTGGAATGAATCACGTGCAGGTGATAGCGCACTACCATAACAAGATCGAGGGCCAGGGCGATGGTGCCATCTTCGATGCCAAGTGGGGCTCCGCCTGCACGGTGGCGGCGTCCGACTCGCACGGACACCTGCTGCTGCTGGGGCTCGGACAGGGACACCCTCTGCTGCGGCAGTTGCCCACGGAGCTCTTCTTCCACACCGACTACCGTCCTCTGGGTGAGTAGCAGCATCCATTCTTTGCTTTACAGCGTTCGTGGAAGTGATGATTTAACATCTAGTTTGGAAACTATGTACGTACATAGATTAGGTTGAAACCAATATTAGGATTAAGAGTACTCGGTGTTTCAGGCGTCCAGACATTGAGCGCACCGAATATACCGCACCGGGAAGCGAGTTCCACAACCTAACAGTCTGGATAGAAAATGATTTTGAATGAAAGGAAGTGGAGTTACATTTACATGAGGATCAACATGAATTTATTTTTATACTACGATGGTGGCAAACAAGCTTGCGGCCCATGTGATGGTAAACGGTTACCGTAGCCTATGGACGCCTGAAATACCAGGGTTGTCAAGTGCGCGATGCAGATCTTTAAGAAACCTTAATGTACCTTTTATGAAAACTCGATGCTGTAGTTAGGTCGTGAGAAAACCTCGGCAGGAATTCATTCCTGATAGTCGTCCGAAGGTCTGTCTTGTCGATGTTAAGTATGTGTGTGCGCAGTGCGGGACGCGCTGGGCGGCGCGCTGGACGAGCAGACGGAGACGCCGCCGCACCTGATGCCGCCGCCCTTCCTGGTGGACGTGGAGGGCGCGCCGCACCCGCCCGCCCTGCAGCGCCTCGTGCCCGGCAGGGAGAACCTCGCGCTCAGCCAGCTCATACCCGCGGCCGAGCGCGGCCGCCTCGACGCGCTCATACTGGCGCTGGCGGGGGAGGAGCGCGGGGCGGGCGCGGGGGGCGTGGGGGGCGCGGGGGGCGTGTGGCGCGGGGAGGGCGTGCGGCACACGGCCGGCTCGTGGCAGCGCGGGGACCCGCTGCTGGTGCCGCCCAGCGAGCGCCCCCTGGTGCCGCCCCTGCCGCCCGCGCACCGCGCCAGGGTCCACGCCGCCGCCGCGGACCTCCACCACATGGAGCACGAGTGGTACGCGCCGCCCCCTGCTTTCTAGAATATGCTACTGTATTCGGACGCACGTCATCGGGCTTACAAGCACTGTGTTCCATATTTGATGTCGGGACCGAGGTCTTTGAGTCGGACTGAACCGATTCACTTACAAAACAATTAATATAATTTGGATACCGCCTTACTAAGTCGTCTGCATTGTAAACTCGAAGACCCTAATAGACTAGACACCGAATACACAGCGCCTATAGAACCGACAGCGTGCATCTGGAATGCACCACATGTATGGTATTTTAAAAAATATAAACCATTATTCTTTATATCCATCAAAATAGGGAATATTTATAAGTGGTAGTTTGAACATAGCTGGAGTAGCAATTATTTATCCGTATCCAAACAGTTATTCCCAGAACTGAAATTTGGCAGGCTTTGAAACTCGTATATGACCTCTCATGGGCCTGATGTGTAGCACTTAAGCCTCACAATAACGACAGCGCCTGAAGCGCAATAATGTCTACGTGAATTGACCTATAGCTTACCCCAGATAATAAAACTATTGTTCCCAACAGGTGGGGATGCGAGATTTAGAACAGCTCCGTTCCACTCCCCTTTATGTAGAAAACGAACTATCCGGCTCGAGGGACCATTATTGTCCACAGTGACTTTATAAAGTTTAACTTGCCAGCTGAGTTGTAACAGTGTGTGGTCGCGTGCAGGTACCGGCGCGAGATGCGGCGGCGGCCCGTGATGATCAACACGGCGGGGGCGGGCGGCCCCGAGGGGGCGCGGCGGCGCGCGGGGCGGCGGCCGCGCGCGCGGGCCGCGCCCCCCGCCCCCGCCGCCGCCGCCGCCCCCGCGCGGCCCCGCCCCTGCCCGCGCCCCGCGCCCGACTCTCCGCCGCCGCCCCCCGACCTCGACTCGGAGTCGGACACCTCGGACGAGTCCGTCCGCCTGTCCGGCTCGCTGCACTCCTCGCACTCGCACTCGCGCGGCTCCAGCCTCGACTACACGCAGTCCTCCAGGTCAGTGCTGCGTTCTGCTCTATGTGGTCCCTCGAGCCGGACATTGTTCCGGCTCGAAGGACCACCGAAGGTGAAGTAAGGGTTATTTTGAAATTAGACTATAGCATACTTTGTTGTACTCTATAGCTCACGTTCTGGAAGTAAAAGTGACGAGTAAGTTGGCATTATTTATTTTAAATTTGTCCGCGTGACACCTGTACTTATGTAACTTAACGTCGATAAAGTAAAATTGTTAATTTCTATAAAGGAATATAAAAGTTTATAATAATTTGTCGGGGCGTTAAGACTTCATTTAGCAAACGCTAGTCCATTTTATTATTTCATCTTTATTTAGCTAATATTTAGCCCTAAAAATCTGATGGTATTCAAACATAATTAATCAATATATTGTATGTACCCAAAAATATTTTATATTAGTGCACCGCCAACAATGTTTCTCTGCACCACTCATGGTCGCCTGGTACATAACGCCGCCAGGTTTTAAGTCCGCCATATGTACACACTGTTTTTGTGCATTGAAGTTAAATAAATAAATACACAAAAATATTTTATAGCAATAACGGGTATACCGTTAGGCATGACAGTATCAAAGTAGGTAAGAAATGTATTAGAACTGTGTTAGTACATGTGTTGTCTCCCGGCGCAGCTCGGAGTCGTCGCAGTACTCGGACTGGGAGGCGGGGGCTGCGTTGGCGCCCCCCGCCCGCGCCCGTCGCCGTCCGCTGCCCGCCACCAGGTACCACCTGCACACCACACCTACCATCGTACACCATCTATACACAATTAACAATTTCATTACTAAATTTCGCAAAAGTATCCAGCTCGAAGGACCAAATATGCCTATAAATAAATAAATAAATAAATGTAAATACATTTGGTCCTTCGAGCTGGATACTTTTGCGAAATTTTGTAACAAATATTTGAGCAGTTAATACGCTAAGAGATAACAAACAAAAATCTGAACTTGTGTCAAAAATATAAGTTCGGCTGGTTTTAATATAAGTTTAATGAATTATGGAAACAAAATTATTAGCGCTTATTTATTTATTTATTATAGAAAAACCAGGGCTGTACTATATATATATATATATGTTGACACAATTTATAGAACATACTAAGTCACTGACAGGCTTTGACAAATAGCAACAGAATAATAGTGTGAATTGCGACATCAAATTATGTATAAAAGGTAACACAACTTTAGAAAAAAAACAAAACATATACCAGTGTCTGAGATAGATATACCCTTTAAATTATTATTTATTTTACTACAAAGCAATTTACACAAGAAAGAGTCAACCGGCCGATATACAGTTTTATCCGGTTCGAAGGACCTAATTTAGATTAAAAAATCAAGATTATAGTAACCAAGAACTAATGAAAATATGTAAATATATGCCTATATAGATATATTCTTCAAATTACTATTATTTATTTTACTACAAAGCAAAACCAAAGAGACAGCCAACCGATCGACACACAGTTTTATCCGGCTCGAAGGACCAAATTATCATGACGTCATAGTATAATTTTATTTTACTACAAAGCAATGTACAAGGGATACACAGTTTTATCCAGCTCGAAGGACCAAATTTAGATTTAACAAGCAACCATAACTCATCCGCACAGATACAGCCCGACTGCGGCGAACACGAAGCGCGGCGGTCCGGCTACTGGCCGCCCCCCGCCGCCCGCGTCCCCGGGGGGCCCGGCGGGGGCGGGGGCGGGGGCGGCGGGGCCCGGGGGGGGCGAGGCGGAGGCGGAGGAGCTGCCCGAGGCGTACCGCCCGGGCGAGTGGCTCACGGCCGTCACGCCGCGGAAGTCTCCCTACCACCCGCAGATGGGCGACGAGTGCGTCTACTTCAGACTGGTCTGACTCTGTTTCTTTTTATCTAACTGGGTAGGTGACGGTAGGTGGTGGAAAGTGGTCACCGTTGCCCATCTAATCCAGTGTTGCAGATATCATATTGTTGGGTGACGACTTTATATGTCACTATACTATCACGATGGTGTCTATGAGGAACCGCGTGGAGGTTCTCTGAAATGGTACATTGCTGCAATAAGATCAGTCCATATTTAACCATAGAAAATCATTTATTCAAATAAACTTAATTTAAGCACTTTTGAATAGTCATAACAATTTTTTTAATCTACCGCTCATTCGGAAAGCTGTCTCATCACAAGAAGAACGAGCAAGACTTGTGTGTTGCTCTTTTAAATAATCCTTATAAGATTACACATTTACAAGTCGAAACGTGTGAGTACAAACTACCAACCAGCACTAATTTTTGTGGGTCAAATATAAATCTATACATATAAATAAAAGACAATATTTCGTTTTTTAATGAATTAGACAAATAATAGTTTTTAAATTCCGGTCTGTTTGTTCCGGCTAATCTCTGAAATGGCTGGACCGACTTTAACAGGACTTTTTTTGGCCGGTAGCTGATGTAATAAGGAGTAACTTAGGCTACTTTTACTTTAGACAAGTTCTTTTAATTTAGACAAATAAAGTTAAATTCCACGCGGACGAAGTCGCGGGTGCAGCTAGTATACAATAAGACTAAATCAGTCCCCCAGTCATCAGTCAATCCCCCAGTATTTATAAGGTTGTGATATGCAGGGCCACCAGCGTTACTTCGAGGCGGTGGCAGAGAAGGACCTCTACAAGATCAATCCACGCGACAAACCCTGGGAGAGGACACTAGTACACGTCAGTATATATTTTTTTGTTTTTACAACACAGGGGACAAGCCAGCATGCGGTTCACCTGATGGTAAGTGATTACCGCCGCCCATGAGCACCCGCAACACCAGCGGAATTGCAAGTACGTTGTCGGCCTTTTAAAAAGGAATAAGCTCTTTTCTTGAAGGTTTCAATATCGTATCGGTTCGGAAATACCATTGCTGGAAGGTGATTCCACAATGTGGTTGTGCGTGGCAAGAAGTTTCTAGAAAACCGCACTGTGGAGGACCGCCATTCATCCAGATGATCAGGATGGTATTTTAGAATTATAGGAAACTGTATACATATTCAAATTAAAAAATCATTTATTCATGTAGGACATTTTAGCCGCTTATGAACGTCAAGTTTTTACATTATAATTTTTTTCCCTACCGTCCAGTTCAGTATATAGATCCAATTGAGAAGAACTGGCAAGAAACTGAATTTAATTTTTTTTTAAAAGCCAGTTTATTTACATTATTTCCTTATATAGGTGTCCATATGTCTAAATGAAAATCCAGTGCATGAACAACTATTGCCATGCACGCTCGTCATTCAAGTAATCGTTTAGTGAGTAATATGTATAATATGAGTAATATGCATAGAGCATATGCCCATAAAGCTTCCCTTAAAATGATTTTTTTAATGTAATTTCATTGGTAGTTTTTATGTATTTTAAATTTAAACATGATGTGAATCAGTTTTGGTGCAGTATATAAAAATAAGTCCGCAAAAACGTAATAAAAAAAAATTTTTTTGTTGTAAACAAAATCGAAATCCGCAATTGCCGGTAGGGACGCAAAAAATCCGCATCCGCATTCGTATCCGCGGATGTGACATAAATTCCATCCGCAACATCCCTATAAGATTACTCTAGTGACAATCATCAAAGCTATTATTTATGCGCGTATGTATAGGTTAACAATATATGTATAACATCACATCACATCATTTTAATCTAGCCGCCGCGCGTATAATGTTTTGTAATTGTATAATTGTTTAAGAGCTCGAATTGTAATATATAAACATTCACGTATATATGATGTGATCGTATTTAATTACAGGAGCCAACAGAATATGGCGCGGCGCTGCAGAGTTATCTGTGCTTCATCGACGAGTTGGTGGACCTCTTCATCATTGCGACACATAGACCACCACCATTTTTATTTTATTTTGTAATATTATATTTCTGTATTATTTAATTTGTAAACTTCCTGTCTATTTATAAAATGTATCTCATGTACAACGTGTTTGTAATTGTTGAATAAAGAACTTATCGATATCTATCTATCCATCAAAGCGTTACATGTGATGCGCGCAGGAGTGCGAGCTGGTGAAGGTGGTGGGCATCAAGTACGTGATCAAGCCGCCGCGCGTGGTGTGCCTGAAGCTGGCCTGCGTGCTGGAGGCGCCCCGGGGCCGCAGCTTCACGGTGCGCTACCACGACATGGCGGACGTGATCGACTTCCTGGTGCTGCGGCAGCACTACGAGCTGGCGGTGGCGCGGCGCTGGGATTAAAGATATAGGTTCCGCTGCATCATCGACGATTTGGTGGACCTTAAATATGGTGGACATTACGCCACCACCACCGCCACCACCACCGCCACCACCACCACCATATATATACGGCCACCACCGCCGCCACCGATCTCTATAATATTATGGTTTCCGCAGCCGCCCACCACTTCCTGTCCATTCGCGTGCGCTGGGACAACGGCGAGGTCAGTGTTGCCATATTCACAACTAGTCGATAGTCGCTAGTTCGATTCCTCGCTCGGCACAAACATTTGTATTCATGAGTATGATTGTTTGTATCGGTCTGGGTGTTTTATATGTATGTACAAAAAATAATATCTATGTATTTGTATCAGTTATCTAGGACCCATAACGCAAGCTTTAGCTAGCTTAACTTGGGTCTAGATGGTGTTTAATTAGGGAATCTTCTATACTAACAATTAAAACTGATTTTGATGTAATTTATACTAAACTTATATATATCTTTAATTTGTATTAAATATATTTGTACATTACATCACTTTGAAAACTGTTATAACGTATTTATGTAATAAATATGACAATATATATATTTTCTCTACAGTTCACTTTGATCTCTATAATATTTTCTACATTTTGGCGCCAAAGTTATTTCACCTTTTCAAAAGCAACGGAACAAACCCAAACAGCTATAATAATGAGACAATATTCAAAGTGGGATATTTAACAATGGCGCTGTGTGAATTGTCATGAGATTATTATTCTTCTCTCTATCGTATTATTCTCTCAGCTTTTGCTGGTTTTTTTATTATTATTATTATAGAAAAGAAAACCGATTCAAAATCGTTGCGTAGTTTTAAAGATTAAAGTATACATAGGGACGGACAGACAGCGGTAGCGACTTTGTTTTATACTACTTAGTGAAGTTAGACGTCGATGGTGATGTAGAAATAGATATAATCTTTATTCAAATAAACTTAATATGAGCACATTTGAGTAGTCATATTTTTTATTCTACCACTCATTCGGAACGCAGACTCATCACAAGAAGAATGAGCGAGAAACTTGTGTGTTGCTCTTTTTAATAGATGTCTTTTTTTATACAAATAATTACAGTATAACAAGTAAGAGGCATGCGATAACCAACATAGAAATCGCTAGGCACTCATTAGTAGTGTATTGAGGTGTGTGCGCGCGTGTGTGTGCAGGTGGAGCGGCTGTCGGCGTGGGACCTGGAGCGCGTGGACGCGGCGCGGCTGCCGTCGTCGCCGGGGGCGGCCGTGGGGGTCCTGCCGCACGAGCTGGCCGCCGCGCTCTACCGCGCCGCGCCGCGCGAGTGGCCGCCCGCCGGGGACCGCGCGCTCGCCTGCCGCACCATCGCACGACACGTGTCGCAGGTCGGCCCACGCTGTCGCACGACATATGTCGGAAGTACCCTCGCATTGTCGCACGACATATATCGCAGATTGTCTTATATTGTCGCACGACAAGTATAGAAGAAACCGTCACATTGTCGCACGACATATATCGCAGATTCTCTTGCATTGGCGCACGATAAGTATAGAAGAAACCGTCACATTGTCGCACGACATGTGTCACAATTACCGGAACATCGTCGTACGACATGTGTCGCAGGTACCATATCATTGTCGCACAACAAATGTAGCAGGTGCAGTCACATAACCGCATTGTCGCACGACATCTGTCACAGGTACCGGAGCATTGTCACACGACACATGTCGCAGGTGCTATCTCATTATCGCACGATATGTATCGCAAGCTCCATCGGATTGTTACACGTGTCGCAGATACCGTTACATTGTCGCGCGACATGTGTCGTAAATAAACTACTCTCCTCACGGATACACTGCACATCAGTCTGATATATGTTATTATTTCATCTATACATATAAATGAGAGTAACGCAGTTTGAAGTCGAGTCACATCGCGAGTTTCAAAGCGTTTGTGGCCCTGGTCCCCACCGACTTGCTACCCACCTTCATGAAAGAGGACTATTTGGCCGAAAGGTGTGTATATCGGCGCTACCGTGGCAGATTGCCGTCTTCAGTGCCGTGATCACACAGACAATATCGTTGTATTGGTTTTTAAATATTATATTATATGTATGTTAGTCTATAAGGTATTTATAATATGGGCCTAGTTGCCTGAATTAAATGAATAAATAAAATCTATACATATAAATAGAATTGAATATTGAAAATTTGTAATATTGAAATAATCGTTTTTTACTACATGCATATGAATATAAATACGGTACATACACCAAAATAACATTTTTTTAATTTTTTTTTCTATCTATTTATTCCAGCTAATCTCTGAAATGGCTGGACTGCGCGTCGACGAACGATGTTGCAGGTAGCCGATAAGGAATAACTTAGGCTACTTTTATTTTAGAAAAAAATAGTTAAATTCCACGCAACGCAGACGAAGTCGCGGGAACAGCTAGTATACATGTATTATTAATTTGTTTATTTTGTAGTAATAAAAAAATGTCTCGAATTTGATTATTTGTAAACGTATGTTGATTTTGTTGATGATGATGGTTCTGGTGATGCTGCAGGTGATGACCCTGGCGGCTGCGGAGCCGTTCGTGGCCCCGGTGGACCTGCAGCTGTATCCCTCGTACGCGCGCGTCGTACCCTACCCCATAGACCTCGCCACCATCCGCGCGCGCTTCGAGAACATGAATATATATAACTCCTTAGGTGGAATTAATCAAAATCCTTTCTTAGCGGATGTCTACGTCATAACATCTACCTGCATCGGGCCAAATTTCAGCCCGATCCGTCCAGTGGTTTGGGCTGTGCGTTGATAGATCACTATGTCAGTCAGTCACCTTTGAGTATATATATATATAGATTTTGTATTTTCTTAACAAAAATTATTTTAAATGCTAAAGCAAATATCGTAAGCTTTCAAATAAGACTTTTGTGTATGGGGGCGACATGAAAACATGAAAAAATACGTTTCATTGAACTCGTAAAAGTGTGAGATATTAAATTTAAAAATGGCGTTCGTTCAGAGGGGTGAGGGGTGAGACCACTCTTTGTATAGTAAAATATAACGTACGATAATACGTGCAGGGGCGGATCGTGAATTTGTGGGGCCCTAGGGCTAAATCTACTTAGGGGCCCATCTAATTATATTACTCTATTTTATCGTTTTACCCCATCACTATTTTCTTAATGAATAGTGGGTAATAATCTCAATAATTATATATAAATTATGGGCTTTATTAAAATGACCGACCGATTTATAAAATATTACATATAGTCTAGGGGGTCCCTCAAATCGCAATTCTGACATGACTCAGGCAAAATTAATGTTATTGTAGCTCTAATATAGTTGTATATTATTTTTGTTTCATTGTTGTATTATGTAGGTAAATCTATCAAACCGTACATAAATATTTTTAAAGAGTTAATTATTGATCGTCACATTTATTATATATATTATTTTTGTACTGTTATATGTTTAAAAAGACTTGTTATCTGTGTAACGCTAATAAAAAATTATGTTTGTGTACTCTTAGATGTATATATATTTTTTTTGATTTTGTTATACTTAAATAAAGATGATTTAAAATAAAAATAAAAAATTATATTACTCAACTAAAAAAATACACCGACTAAAAACAAGCGACTAGAAATTCTCCGTTCTCTTTCGATAGACGCGCACTTGCATGGACTGATTGCACATTCTAGATATTTTTTTATATTCTAAATATCGTTTCAGTGGGGACTGGGAGCCCTTTGTATCTTCGGGGCCCTGGGCCCAAAAAACCCTTAGGTAGATCCGCCCCTGGATACGTGGGTCAATTATCGCTAATCTGTAACCAGACACACTGTATGTAGGCGACGATTACCTCTTTCTCTCTGATGGGATTATAAGTTGTCTCTGTTGATAGAGCAAGAGCCCACGACGGCCAGACATGTCATATTAGTAAACGTGAAAGTAGTTGTATGTGTGTCCCCAACACAGGTGAGAACGATCCCCAAACATGAAACCTGGATCGTGGTTGCTTTGGCAGGTAACAGGTAACAAAGGTGTAAAAAATTTCATATCAAATTCGTTATTTTAAGAAACTCCATTTTTTCACATATTGCTCGTAACAGTATTATAACTTGCTCTGCTCGTTGTCGAACCAAGAAAACTGTCTGGCAATTTAGAAAACTCAGTTTAATAGTTCTCTCAATAATATATATATAAAGTTCAGCTTTATTAAAATGACGTAAGTTTATTTCTAAAATAGTATAGTTTAGGGGGGTCCGGCGGGGGGTTGGAACCACACCAAGTGTCTGGCAATGAACAGCGCAAGTTATAATAATGCTACGAACAATATATGAAAATATGAAGTTTCTTAAAATAACGAATTTGATATGAAAATGTTTACACCTTTGTTACCTGTTACCAGTTTGTAGGTGCCAAAGGAACCACGATCCAGGTTTCATGTTTGGGGATCGTTCTTACCATATTGTGTTGGGGACACACATACAACAACTTTCACGTTTTTAAAATGACGTAATGTCTGTCAGTCGTGGGCTCTTGGGCTATGAGTTTGTTTGTGTTTGTTATTACAAGTTGTCTGTGCTAACTTTGTGTTTGTGTTTGTGTTTGTGCCACAGTTCTACCGGCGGGCGGCAGCAGCGCAGTTCGACGTGCGGTACCTGGCCACCAACGCGGAGCAGTTCAACGAGCCGCACGCCATCATCGTGCGACAGGCGCGCCTTGTTACAGACCTGCTGCTGCACATCATCAGGTTACCACCACCACCACCACACTCGTCACACTCATCAATCTCATCATATACGGTTCCTTGATGTTCTCCAGTTATAATAAATATTATCAATTATATCTACCATGCTCGTCACACTACTCACGCTCGTCACAAACGGCACATTGTTTATCTACAGACACACGTAATCGTGTATATGTATAGTACCATGTCGGCTTACAGCTACACTGAGGTGCTGACACCACGCTTGTCACAATTGCTATATAGTCTTAAATATTACATGTTACTGAACATTACAAGGTATATCGCATTCACTATGATTACCACACTCGTCACATTTTCCTCATATGCCTATACATTAATTAGTTGATAGGCATAGCAAAGTATTTTGCACTCATCACAAAATCCACACTCATCAACTTAACCACACTAGTCACACTCATCACATTCGTCACACACGGTGATTTACGGATTTGTGAATGACTGTATGCATTGTTGTAGCTCGTGGCAGGACGTGGACGTGTTGGCCAAGTACCACGAGTTGGCCGCCTCCTACCACTCGTCGGATGACGAGCCGCTCGCTGCCAGCGCCGCCAAGGTATGCACTCTACTATTATATTCTGATATGTTTCATAGTTGGACAGTGTATTAAGAAGTCTACATTAGCAATCCCCTTTCGCCTCAGTTTGTAGGTGTTAAAATTACTGATATTAGTGAACCTTTACAATAATAGAGCCTATACAATATACTAACGTTTGGGCTGTAAACTTCACGCAGGTGAATCCGCGGGTAGTAGAAGTATTTTCATATTTTAATCCTTCGAGTCGGATTAATTTGCCAAGTAGCCGCCTGTTGTGTGCGTGCGCAGGGCGGGCGGCGGGCGCGGGGCGGGGAGGGGTGGCGGGCCACGTGCGCGCAGCTGCTGCGGGAGCTCATGGCCTCCGCGGACGCGGAGCCCTTCACACGACCCGTCAGCCTCGACATGGCGCCAGGTGACCACCCCCACCATGCTCTACACATACTTTCTTTGTAGTAATAATAATAATCTCAGGACAATTCACACAGCGCCGGCGACACGATAGTCCCACGTCACGTGGCCGCGCTTAGTGTTCGCCAAGCGCCTGTATCCAAAGCTTGTGTTATGGGTATAACTGGCCGCGCTAACGGCGATACATATGCGCATAGATTTTTTTTTTTTAAACACCCAGCCTGTACAAATAATCAAGCTCATGAATACAAATGTTTGTGCCGGCCGCGTCAGGAATCGAACCGTGGCGCGCTGGCCGGCGACGTGCGCCTGTTCGCCAACAGCCGCCTGTACAACACCAACAAGCGCAGCCTGTTACGTACACCGGCCGTGACGTCATGATGTTCTGGATTGTTCGCTGGCCCATGCGGATGTTCGCCAACAGCCGCCTGTACAGACTACCAACAAGCGCAGCCGTAATGATGATCACGTCACGTTCGTGCGTGGCCGCGCTGGCCGGCGACGTGCGCCGAGTGTTCGCCACCAGCCGCCTGTTCATGTCCCAGTAGAGCCGCGTTGTTCGTTGTCCGGTTGTGACGTCACGTACCGTGACGGGGCCGCGCTGGCCGGCGACGTGCGCCGAGTGTTCGCCAACAGCCGCCTGTACAACACCAACAAGCGCAGCCGGGTACGTACACCGGCCGTGACGTCACGTCACGTCACGTGGCCGCGCTGGCCGGCGACGTGCGCCGAGTGTTCGCCAACAGCCGCCTGTACAACACCAACAAGCGCAGCCGGGTACGTACACCGGCCGTGACGTCACGTCACGTCACGTTGGCCGCGCTGGCCGGCGACGTGCGCCGAGTGTTCGCCAACAGCCGCCTGTACAACACCAACAAGCGCAGCCGGGTACGTACACCGGCCGTGACGTCACGTCACGTCACGTGGCCGCGCTGGCCGGCGACGTGCGCCGAGTGTTCGCCAACAGCCGCCTGTACAACACCAACAAGCGCAGCCGGGTACGTACACCGGCCGTGACGTCACGTCACGTCACGTCACGTGGCCGCGCTGGCCGGCGACGTGCGCCGAGTGTTCGCCAACAGCCGCCTGTACAACACCAACAAGCGCAGCCGGGTACGTACACCGGCCGTGACGTCACGTCACGTCACGTGGCCGCGCTGGCCGGCGACGTGCGCCGAGTGTTCGCCAACAGCCGCCTGTACAACACCAACAAGCGCAGCCGGGTACGTACACCGGCCGTGACGTCACGTCACGTCACGTGGCCGCGCTGGCCGGCGACGTGCGCCGAGTGTTCGCCAACAGCCGCCTGTACAACACCAACAAGCGCAGCCGGGTACGTACACCGGCCGTGACGTCACGTCACGTCACGTGGCCGCGCTGGCCGGCGACGTGCGCCGAGTGTTCGCCAACAGCCGCCTGTACAACACCAACAAGCGCAGCCGGGTACGTACACCGGCCGTGACGTCACGTCACGTCACGTGGCCGCGCTGGCCGGCGACGTGCGCCGAGTGTTCGCCAACAGCCGCCTGTACAACACCAACAAGCGCAGCCGGGTACGTACACCGGCCGTGACGTCACGTCACGTCACGTGGCCGCGCTGGCCGGCGACGTGCGCCGAGTGTTCGCCAACAGCCGCCTGTACAACACCAACAAGCGCAGCCGGGTACGTACACCGGCCGTGACGTCACGTCACGTCACGTGGCCGCGCTGGCCGGCGACGTGCGCCGAGTGTTCGCCAACAGCCGCCTGTACAACACCAACAAGCGCAGCCGGGTACGTACACCGGCCGTGACGTCACGTCACGTCACGTGGCCGCGCTGGCCGGCGACGTGCGCCGAGTGTTCGCCAACAGCCGCCTGTACAACACCAACAAGCGCACAGCCGGGTACGTACACCGGCCGTGACGTCACGTCACGTCACGTGGCCGCGCTGGCCGGCGACGTGCGCCGAGTGTTCGCCAACAGCCGCCTGTACAACACCAACAAGCGCAGCCGGGTACGTACACCGGCCGTGACGTCACGTCACGTCACGTGGCCGCGCTGGCCGGCGACGTGCGCCGAGTGTTCGCCAACAGCCGCCTGTACAACACCAACAAGCGCAGCCGGGTACGTACACCGGCCGTGACGTCACGTCACGTCACGTGGCCGCGCTGGCCGGCGACGTGCGCCGAGTGTTCGCCAACAGCCGCCTGTACAACACCAACAAGCGCAGCCGGGTACGTACACCGGCCGTGACGTCACGTCACGTCACGTGGCCGCGCTGGCCGGCGACGTGCGCCGAGTGTTCGCCAACAGCCGCCTGTACAACACCAACAAGCGCAGCCGGGTACGTACACCGGCCGTGACGTCACGTCACGTCACGTGGCCGCGCTGGCCGGCGACGTGCGCCGAGTGTTCGCCAACAGCCGCCTGTACAACACCAACAAGCGCAGCCGGGTACGTACACCGGCCGTGACGTCACGTCACGTCACGTAGCCGCGCCCTGCGCTTCTCGACTGAATGGAATAGAAAATCATTTATTCAAATAAACTTAATTTAAGCACTTTTGAATAGTCATAACATTTTTTTTGTCTACCGCTCATTGGGAAAGCTGTCTCATCACAAGAAGAACGAGCAAGAAACTTGTGTTGCTCTTTTAAACAATCCTTGTAAGTTTACATTTTACTAATCGAAACATGTGAATACAAATTACCAACCAGCACTAATTTATTTGGGTCAAATATAAATATATAATAAGATTAAATCAATTGTGGTGATAAGAGCAGACCAGTCCCTACAAGCAGCACTCGTTCACGAGTATGACGGATGGGCCAGCCTTCACTGCACTCGACCATATTTTAGGGAGCCCAATGACTGAATGCCGTAAATCACCCAACGAAAAAGGATTATTCAACTACCGACCTCCGTATTTATAGACCAAAGTGCAGTAGGTCGGTCTATAAATACTAGATGGCGCTATTTACAATATTTGTAATAATCTTTCCATTGGGTACTTCATTAGTACTAAACACAAACTACCTTTTAATATCATTTTAAAATATTGGATTTTTCTTCAATATTGATGTGAACCCTAAGTTACTATAATAATACTTTGTGTGTAGATCTACTCGATGACTGTCCGTCTGTCGTCGTTGTTCGAGGCGCTGTGGGCGCGCGCTGCCCCCGAGCAGCCCGTCCGGGCCGGACGGCCCAGCCGGTCCGGGCGGTCCGGTCGGTCCGGTCGGTCCGGTCGGTCGGGCCGGCGCGCGCCCGCAGCCCGGCCCCGCACCCGCCGCTCTCGCCGGCCGCGCCGCGCGACCAGGGCCGCCGCACAAAGTATGTATACATTATAGCTAATTAGGTTTCACATATGTATATGAGAGCGGGATATAGTCTGAATAGACTGTAGATACATAGGTCGCTGGATCAAATCCGGCTCCGAAGGATCAATGTTCGGATTGTACTAATTCTATAAAAGCATACTGATAGCAAGATCTGTGTGTGCACAACTCAAATCTGTGTGCATAGATTGTAGATTCATAGGTCGCTGGTTTGAATCCGGCTCGAAGGACCAATGTTGGGATTGTACTAATACTATAAAAAGATACTAATGTATTATGTAATAATAAAAAAGATTCTGATAATGTAACAGCGTAATGAGGAGTGATCTCAGTAAGTCTAATTACCAAATGTGATTTTTGGTGAAATATGAAAATCTTAAAAAAATATTAATGCTGCGAAATAATTATCACATATAGTTGTATCTTCAACTGTATTTTTGTTTGTTTAGTGTATGATAATGTAATGGTGCACCCGCTTTCTTTAACGGATTACGCTGGCAACACCAGTGGAGGACGATTAGATGAGATCAGGTCAGTTAGCAAATTGTGATAAATTTACCTACAATTTATCACGATGGTTTCCAACGGCAACCGTGTGGAGGTCAACCTGACATGGTAGTTTGCTAGCAATGGGTCAAAATCCGCTTTACTAACAATACCCTTCATCCCAGACCGAATAACTCAGCCACTTATATATCTACAACATTAATTTGTGTACTGTTTGTTTGTCAGACTCACCGACGGAAGCGGAAACGGTGGCTCCGGTAGACGGGCAGCAGGCGGGCGCGGGCGCTCGGTCCGGGTCGCGCGGGTCTCGCGGGTCGTCCGGGTCGTCCGGGTCGTCGTCGGAGCCGCTGGCGGCCACCTCGCGCCGCGTGCACCGCGCCGCCCGCCAGGACTCCTGGGACAGCGACGAGCCGCTCCACGCGCACACCAAGGGTACGCACGCACGCACGCACACGCACGCACGCACACGCACGCACAAGTACGCTCGCAGGCACGCTGGCACGCATGCACAGCCACACACACCCACTCACGGACACACGCATAAGCACGCTCGCATACGTAAGCGCACGCACGCATGCATGCACACGCACGCACGACCACGTACGCACGCACTCACGTACACCTTTCGTATAAACACAATCATAGACCAAGCAGGAGTTAGCCTACAGCCGCTCCATAAATCGTTCGTCGAGTTTATGGGTATGGTATATCTGGTTGATATTTTATAAAATAATTAATTAATAATTCTGGCAAATCCCGGGATATGATAAGCCTGATGCTTATGCAAGCCTGATCACTTAGTCCACCTCATAAGATGTAGAACTAAATTGTCTTCGAAATAATCCTTGAGTGAACATTATTTAAAACTTATCCGGAGATATATCCCATTTGAATGAACATTATTAAAACTTATCCGGAGATATATCCCATTTGAGTGAACATTATTTAAAACTTATCCGGAGATATATCCCATGAGATATATCAAATAAATAATTTAATACAATTTGTTTGTGGTTACGGTTGGCGTGTTGATATACAGAAGGAGTGATATTAATAAAAGATTGAATATATGACAGTGTATATAATAACAGAATTAAAAATAACAAATAATAATTAATTTAACAACTCATTTAGATCAGTAATTTGCAAGCGAATTAATTTGACATTTTGACAATATACTTTTTATTAAAATGTGTCTGTGTTATATGGCTAGTTTATGCAAGGAGGTTGGTAGCCTACATGTTTATTTATCGGCAGGCAAAGGCGTGGGGAAGAAGAGTAAGAGCAGCAGCAACAGCGCGGAGCCGGGGCCGAGCACGAGTCGCGCCAGACTAGCAAGTTAGTACACATCTATAGAAATAGAAATAATCTTTATTGTAATAAACTGTATTGCACATTTGTACTGTCCAGTGCCGTACGAGTCCGAGCCGGAGTCTGAGCCGGGCGCGGGTGCGGGTGCGGGTGCGGGGGCGACCGCGCGGTGGTCGTCCGGCAGCGCGTGCTCCAACATCCGCGTGGTGGAGGAGGAGCTGCTGGAGGACGACGTCGAGCTCACCTACGACGAGCCGCCGCCGGCAGCGCACGTGAGGACACCACCCATACATACACACACACACACACACACACACACACATACATACATAAGGAAAAACCACTTACAATTTTGTTTTATTTATGGCCTCACAAAATTATATTTCCGAATTAAAAAAAAAATTAACTTCCAACCCCTATTACAAATTTATCTCATGATACAGATACATCAGGTCTTATTTGGTTGTTTACATATTACTTAATTTAAATAAAATAAAAAATAATTCACTTAACTTCCAGATTGGTCATTATTTGCAATTATTTTGCGAAATATGGGGTTTTTGCAACAAAAATTGTAAAAAATAAAATCGTACGTCACGAACTCTAAGCATGGTCAAATACCTTGTTAGTATAGACCACTTAGAACCTAAGTAGTCTATACTAACAAGACGTTAAAACTTTACACCCATCTTCCAAACACCCTGTGTATGTGGGTAGATTAAGTTATTGAGGGATGACTGCGTCCAAACTTGAAATCTAAATATATATAACTCAAAGGTGACTGACATAGTGATCTATCAACGCACAGCCCAAACCACTGGACGGATCGGGCTGAAATTTGTCATGCAGGTAGATGTTATGACGTAGGCATCCGATAAGAAAGGATTTTGATTAATTCTACCCCCAAAGGGATAACATAGGGGTGAAAGTTTGTATGAAACTTTGTAAATTTTAAACCGATCGGGCTGAGACATTGCATGCATAAAGCTACTATGATGTAGGCCTACCATAAGAAAGGATTTTGATAAATTCCATCCCTAAAGGGATAAAATAGGGGATGAAAGTTTGTATAAATCTTCTTAGATTTTCGACTGATTGAACTGAAATTAAAGATTGGAGCTACTATGATGAAGACGTTTGCTTAAATAGGATTTTCATAAATTCAACCTATCAGTACCTAATGGAACGAATAAATTAAGACGAACAAAATAATTTTTAGTTCTTTAGGGTACTTTTATTTTAGAAAAATAAAGTTAAATTCCACGCGGACGAAGTCGCGGGAACGGCTAGTATTAAATAAGTGTGTAACCAACCTCGCTGTTTGCTAGTCGCGTACCTCCTCTCTAGAAACAACACATACTGAGGTGCCCAACAACTTTTATCATACAAACAAATCACTAATTTGTTAGTTAATTGTAAATTAGTAGTATTTATAATACACTATATTATATTCCATGATGTAATATATAGACCCGCAAGCGTGGTCGCGCGCCGAGCTCAGCCAGCGGCAGTGTGGCGAGCGTGGCGAGCGTGGCGAGTGTGGGCAGCGACTGGGCCGCTCACCACAAACGGCCGCGCCGCAGCGGGCACGCACCCAAACAGTATGTATTGACTCCTGTGACGTCTAGCTGGATTGTGGCGAGCGTGACGAGTGTGACGAATAGATGATGATGATGAAGTAGTGATCTCGTCGTGGTTTGGTATAACCTAAGACTGAGCAATTATAAATATATTTATTTTATTAATATTACAAACAATATATTAATATTATATAAATCATTATATTTTTATGTTTAGTTTTAATTATTTTTGACATTTTTATAAAAAATATTATTTGCACATTTTAACCCACTCAACACTTCCTATGCCACGCTCTATTGGGTTGTCTGGAAGAGATCTCTTTTAGAGATAACTCCTCCTTTGTTAACATTAACTGTAATTAATATACTTACAAATGTATTTAATTGCAATAAAGAATATTTATTTATAAATGCGAAAGTTTGTGAGTATGGACGGATGGTTACATGGAAAATCTATTGAACAGATCGTATATCTAGTACAATACTGGCGTAATTCAGAAATTTGATATTTTTGAAATTATACTTTAATTCCACAGTTATAAAGTGGACTTTCCAAAATTTGTAATTTTTGAGTTAAGCCAGTATTATAATAAGTGTGCGAGATGTTGATGAAACTTTTCATTAATATATAGGTGAGTTATGTACTATGTAAGACATCCAGTTTTTCGAAAAAAAAAAAAAATAATATATAGCCCAAGAGCCCACGAGGGATTAACGAATTTGATATGAAATTGTATACACCGTTGTTACCCAATATACGGTTTCAATGAGTCTGGTAGGATAAGGAACCAAGAAAACTGTCTGGCAATTTAGGAAACTCAGTTTAATAGTTCTCTCAATAATATATATAAAGTTCAGCTTTATTAAAATGACGTAAGTTTATTTATAAAATAGTATAGTTTAGGGGGGTCCGGCGGGGGGTTGGAACCACACCAAGTGTCTGGCAATGAGCAGCGCAAGTTATAATAATGCTACGAACAATATATGAAATAATGGAGTTTCTTAAAATAACGAATTTGATATGAAAATGTTTACACCTTTGTTACCTGTTACCTGCCAAAGGAACCACGATCCAGGTTTCATGTTTGGGGATCGTTCTCACCTGTGTTGGGGACACACATACAACTACTTTCACGTTTACTAATATGACGTATGTCTGGCCGTCGTGGGCTCTTGCTCTAATAGCTAATACATGTAATTTAAAAAGATATGTTTATTTGAATAAACATTATTTGTATATCTTTAGGAGTAGTGGAATTCTATATAGAAATTTAAATAAAACGACCATATATCTGTTCTTGCATTGTGACGACAGATTCAAATAAACGCAAACGCTGTCCAACATAGAGATGTGTCTCGAATTAACTTAACTCGAATTTAGCGTAACTCGAGTTACGCTGAATTCGAGCTAACTCGAGTTAAATTCTTCCAACTCGAGATGGAAGAATTCAGTAGTATATTTTTATAAATAACGGGACTTATGAGGAAATTTCTTATTTTTTTTGAATCGCCAGTGAGTAGACGTGTAAAACGTTAAAATTGCTCGGATTTATTTTAAATATATAGGAAACACGAGCTCGTTATTGAATCATTAAAAAAATAGCTCTCAAATAGGAAAAGTTGACCTGCAGCCATGCTACGTTCCATAAGACCCTTCCGCGGCTTCGAAGTGCCATTTCTACTCGCCCTCTATGGTTCGATAAAGCTTTCAAGACTAGCTGTGGCCAAAAACATTCGAAAATTAAAAAAAACTGTTTATTCCAGGTAACTCGAGTCAACTCGAGTTACCTGAATTTCAACTCGAGTTAACTCGAGTCACGTTTATTACGAGTTAGCACATCTCTAGTCCGACACCTAGATACAAACTACTACATTTGCCCGACATCGCGTGTGTCAGGAGGCGCGAGCGGACGAGCGCGGCGTGGTCGTCGGGGTCAACGTCCGGGTCGGACGGGTCGGACGGGTCGGACGGGTCGGACGGGTCGGGCCGGGCGGGCCCCGCGGCCGCCAGCTATGAGTCGGATCGCTCCTACCGTCCGCGGTACTCCACCGACGACGACGCGCCGCTGCATCTGTACAGGTATAAATATATTTCTCTCTCTCTCTCTCTCTCTCTCTAGATACAACTAAACTTTTTTTTTATACTACTATGGTGGCAAACAAGCATACGGCCCATTCGATGGTAAATGGTTACCGTAGCCTATGGATTTATAAATGCGAAACGTGAGACACCAGGGGTTCTTGCGCGTTGCCGACTCTTATATATTACTTTTCTTAAGTTGAGACACTTTTTATTTATACACTGTTTTATTGTTAATAATGGTGAGCTGTGATATATAATAGTGTGTGTGTGTGTGTGTGTGTGTGTGTGCAGGGAGCGGCGGCGCGGTGCGGGGGCTGCGGGCGGGGCCCCGGGCCCGCAGTCCGAGGACGGCAGCGGGTCCGCACCACGCAGCAGGGTACGTAGATTCATTTATACACTAATACACGTATGAACAGTTGTACACTGACGGCCTCGCTAGTCCAGCGATTTAACAGACCGCCAAGCTCGAAGTGAGGGGTTCAAGTTCAAGTATTGCGTAGGCAATAAAAGGGGGTGGCGTCAAAATCTTTGCTTTGCTTATTTTCTGACATGGGGGTGAACAAACAGATGATGACGTCATCGTTATTTATTTTTTACACGAATAGCAACCCTACATTGTCTTTGCTAAAAAAACAATACATTAATTGAAAAATGTTTACGTAAGCATGGGGGACGGGGTATATATATGCTTACTTTTGCTGATCAGGGGGATGGGGAGGGTTAAGTATATGTAATAAATCTGCTTACATAATACTTGAATGGCAGTAAGAAGATGGTCGCGGGTTCGATTCCTCGCACGGCACAAACATTTGTATTAAACGAGTATGATTGTTTGTATATCTAACGTGTTTTCTATGTATATTTAGTATGTATTATACAAAAATGTATTTGTGTGTGTGTGTGTACCAATAACACAAGCTCTGCTCAGTTCAGACCTAGATGGCGCTGTGAGAATTGTCCTGAGTTATTATTATTATTTACTATATATCGTATCTAAGCTGGTGCTTAGTACTAGAGCGGGCCATGTTCAAGTTATTATTACAAAGCAATGCTTTTCAAAAGAAAGACAACAATATTGAAAGATTTTACAATAAATCTACCAAGATTTGTATCAATATCCTTTCCATTTTTGTTAACTATATTAATAGAGAAGAATTAAATGGTGCAATATATATATGTGTGGGATTATCGCGAGTGAAACTTGAAGAAAAGTCTTATAATATTTAATTATTTATTTACGTCTTAGAATCGTCTTATGTCGTTCTCTCAACTCTCTCTATTCTTTTTTTTTAATAAAACTATAATAAAAATAAAATGCATACATCCTGTTTCCACATATATATTAAGATGTCACAAACATTGCTTAGCGACATACATTAAAATCGCTATTAAAATTAATGTGTGTGTGTGTGTTGATGGTAGAAGGGTAAAATCGCACCTAGGGTTGTATATTTTTTCCTCACCACATTATAAAATATTTAAAAAAATGTTAAGGGTAGCACAACCTTATCACTTAGGGGTAGATTATTGTAGAGAATGCTATTAGCATCAAGCCCGCCTATTGTACAAAATCAATAAAGTTTTAAATAAATAAATAAATTTCAGAGAAATTTCATAAATGTCGCTGCAAGTGGTTTCGGAGGAGTATGGTAACTAACACTGACACGAGAATTTTATATATAAGATTATCAGATAAGATTCACTTGTATTGGTGTGACGATGATTATGATGGTGACGGTGTGTGTGTGGGTACATTCAACAAATATCTATATATATATAAAAAAAAGGTGACTGACATAATGATGCTTACAACGCACAGCCCAAACCACTGGACGGATCGGGCTGAAATTTGGCATGCAGGTAGATGTTATGACGTAGGCATCCGCTAAGAAAGGATTGTGATTAAGGGGATAAAATAGGATGAAAGTTTGTATGAAACTTTGTCAATTTTAAACCGATCGGGCTGAGACTTTGCATGCATAAATCTACTATGACGTAGGCATCCCCTAAGAAAGGATTTTGATAAATTCCACCCCTAAGGGGATGAATTAACGCGAGCGAAGCCGCGGGCTGCAAAAGGTAGTCTTATATATAAAATTCTCGTGTCACTACTAGTTATACTCCCCCAAAACGATTTGACTGATTGTTGTGAAATAGTGTGGTGACATGTGTGACGATGATGGTGATGGTGACGGTGTGTGTACAGAGCGGCGGCGTGTCGCTGCGGGCGCGCGGCAGTCCGCGGCAGTACAACGAGGACAGCGAGGAGGACTCCGCCGCCGCCATCAGCAAGCGGCTGCAGCACCACCACCGCCACCACCACCACCACCACCACCTCGCCACCAGGCGGCAGAGACACGCTGCACAGGTACCACCACCCACCACCCGCACACGACAACATACAACACAACGAGCACAGCGAGGAGGACTCGGCCGCCGCCATCAGCAAGTGGCTGCAGCATCACCACCAAAATTCGTAAAGATATGAAAATCCGAACGAATCCGACCAAATTACACCACATTCGTATGTTTATTTTAATTGTATTACGCCAACGATTTCAGACGTCGGGGTTAAGCTCGCTGGCGCCGGGTGTGGCGAGTGTGGCGAGCGTGGCGAGCGTGGCGACCAACGACGATCACAACTACTTCAACGGGCACGCCGCCGTCGCTCAGCACAACGGCACGCACAATGGTGCTGCTGGTACGTACTGTTTATGACGGTCTCGGTGGTCTAGCGGTTAACACGCTTTAATTCCGGTCGCGGGTTCGATTCCTCCCACGGTATGAACATTTGTATTCATGAGTATGTTGTTTGTATCGGTCTGGGTGTTTTACATATATATTACTAGCTGTCCCGTCAAACGTTGTTTTGCCATATAAATTAATAACGCTATAAAAAATAGGGGTTGATGATAGAAGGGTGAAAATTTAGGATTGTATGTATTTTTGTATGTTGTATCATAAAAAAATAGATACTAAAAATTTTGTCTAAAGGCAAAACAACGTTTGCCGGAACAGCTAGGGAATAAATAAAATATTATATGAAGGAAGAACGTGATGTCTAAAAGCAGCTATTAGGCACACTGTGTGAAATCATGTTTCTATCTGTATCATATATTTTGAGCGCAAAGCAGCCTGTTAAAAGCTGAGATAATGCAGTAACCATGATATATATATACAGAGGTATATAGAGGCATGATATATATATAGATAAATAGATATATCGTTTATTTGTTTGTTACTAATCACATACAACATGTTCATAAGAATAGACAATACATAATACGATAAGAATATTTATAAACTGTGTTGTTATGTGTGATCTGTAACAATACAAAAAGGTCGAAGCTCAGGGAACAAAACACTGATTTTCAGCTTCACCCATTTGAGGTTGAAAATAATAATTAAAATAAATATAAAATAAAAAGAGTGTTAAATATCCCACTTTGAATATTGTCTCAATATTATAACTGTTTGGGTTTGTTCCGTTGCCTGTAGTCCATTTTAAAAAGGTGAAATCACTTTGGGGCCAAAATATATTGACATAAAATAAAAAGGATATAGTATTATAGAGATCAGAAGGTGGCTGTATGGGCTGAGTCCTTTTGCCTTTCCCTAAAAAGGGAAAAACCGAAACAAAAAAAAAAAGAGATCAGAAGGGAACTGTAGAGAAAATGTATATATTGTCATATTTATTACTTAAATACATTATAATAGTTTTTAAAGTGATGTAATGGTTGGAAGTACAGTACAAGTATATTTAAGACTACAAAATATAGATGTATGTATAGTGATTACAGTTTTCATTGTTAGTATAGAGGATTCCCTAATAAACAAAGAGCAATATAATTGGTGACTGTGTGTGCGGTGTGTGTATAGTAAAAATAATGTAAATAGTTCACAGTATAATTTGATATAATTTTAACTGAGTGGTAAGGATTAAATGAGAAAAAAGAAAATATTAATAGGAAAAACATAAAAAAAAGGCATGACATTTTGGTCCTCTAGATTGACAACGCATGAATAGAATAGAATAGAATAGAAAATCATTTATTCAAATAAACTTAGTTTAAGCACTTTTGAATAGTCAACATTTTTTTAAATCTACCGCTTATTCGGAAAGCTGTCTCATCACAAGAAGAATAAGCAAGAAACTTGTGTGTTGCTCTTTTAAACAATCCTTGTAAGTTCACATTTTACAAGTCGAAACGTGTGAATACAAACTACCAGCCCTAATTATTACCAGCACTAATTTATTTAGGCTCAAATATAAAAACACAATAAGATTAAATCAGTCGTAGTGATAAGAGCAGACCAATCCCTACAAACAGCACTCGTTCACGAGTATGACGGATGAGCCAGCCAACACTGCCACATGTCTGAACATTTTAGTGAGCATGACTACTCATTCCACTCGACCACGTCACAGCTACAAAAATTACTATATGGTAGTTACAGTACTCGCACTTTACATGAGGATGCATGCGGCAATCAATACAAAAGCCGCTACGCTATCATATATCAAGAAAGCAGTATGAAAAATAACGTTGTTCGCAAATAAACTTATTCTTGCTATATATTGCTATCATCTATAAATTCATCTATCTTATAATAGGCTTTTTGGTATCACGGGCGGGGCGTGAGTTATATCACGGGCGTCACATGATAACGTAATATTCGTAACCCCGTTCATGTACTCTAAGTATATAATTGTCGTGTTGCAGGCGGGGGCTCCGCCAGCAGCAGCGGCGGCGGGGGCTCCGCCCCGGTCTCGATCTCGTCCCGGGGCCGCGTCCGCAAGCTCACACCGAAGGCGCGCGGCCTGCTGCGGGACTGAGGCCGGCGGGGGCTCCGCCCCGCTCACACCGCGGCCTAGTGCGCCGCGCCCCACACGCGCTCCGGTACGTGGTACGTTCGTAGTACGCAAGTTAAAGACGATTCGGTTAGTGATCTATAAATTTAGTGTTCAAAACTGAATGTACCCCGCGTGACCCCGCGTGAACGTCTATATGAGGTTGATATAGTAGTCACTTAGTAAGGAATGGATTTATTACAATTTTTATAAAATACTAGCTAGCGGCAAACGTTGTTTTGCCTTAAAATTAAATAAAAAATTTAGGGGTGGACTACCTCTAACATTTAGGGGGATGAAAAATAGATGTTGGCCGATTCTCAGACCTACTCAATACGCTCACAAAATTCATGAGAATCGGTCAAGCCGTTTCGGAGGAGTACGGGAACGAAAACTGTGACACGAGAATTGTATATATAACATTTACAACGGGACGTGCGGTGTAGCTTACAGCTAGGTACAGACTGCGGCCCGGCGTCCGTTACGGTTTTATGTACAAAACCATGGATGTTAAGGAGATCCGTAACCGTAACCGAAACTATCGGATATCCGATATAAAAAAATATCCGTAACCGTAACCGAAACTATCGGATATCCGATATAAAAAATATCCGTAACCGTAACCGAAACTATCGGATATCCGATATAAAAAAATATCCGTAACCGTAACCGAAACTATCGGATATCCGATATAAAAAAATATCCGTAACCGTAACCAAAACTATCCGATTTCCGATATAAAGAAATATCCGTAACCGTAACCGCAACTATCGGATATCCGATATAAAAAAATATCCGTAACCGTAACCGAAACTATCGGATATCCGATATAAAAAAATATCCGTAACCGTAACCGAAACTATCGGATATCCGATATAAAAAAATATCCGTAACCGTAACCGAAACTATCGGATATCCGATATAAAAAATATCCGTAACCGTAACCGAAACCATCGGATATCCGATATAAAAAATATCCGTAACCGCAACCGAATCCGAAATAAAAGTTTCGGACAATATCGGATACGGGCGGAGTCTAATTGAGTCAGGTTATGTAACCATTTTATTAGCTATTTGTATTTTACTTTTGATATTCCTTAAAAAATTGTATATCCGTAACCGAAATTATCCAAACTAACGGATAATCCGAAATAATTTCATATCCGCATCCGTATCCGTATCCGGTATAATAATCAGTCCTATAGCCGAAACCTATCCGTATCCTAAATTTTATATCCATAACATCCCTGTTCAATACTATAATGACACCATATGCAGCGAACAATACATAAAAAAACATAACTTTTTAAATTTTAGTCGAGTCGAGTCTACTGAAATTAATAATTATATATTACAGTGGTAATCTATACGTATAAATAAAATTGTAGTGTCTGTTTGTAATATTGAAATAACCGTTTTTTACTACACGCATATGAATATATATACGGTACATACACCTAAATAATATTTTTTTTAATTTTTGTCTGTCTGTTTGTTGCGGTTAATCTCTGAAATGGCTGGATCTATTTTGACAGGACTTTTATTGCCAGGTAGCTGATGTAATAAGGAGTAACTACTTTACTTTCAGAAAAATCTTGTATGTAGTCCACGCGAACGAAGTCGCGGGAACAGCTAGTATAACAAGATGTTTGTCTCTGAGGTAATAAACTATAGTGTTACAACTCTATTTAAGAATCGCAAATAGCTGGCAACATTGGTAATGTCATTTTGTATCTGAGATAAAATACTATAGTGTAACAACTCTATTTACAAATCGCAAATAGCTGGCAACATTGGTAATGTCATTTTGTATCTGAGATAAAAAACTATAGTACTACAATACTATTTCAGAATCGCAAATAGCTGGCAACATTAATAATGTCAAATTTTGTCTCCGAGATAAAAAAAAAACACAGTAAAGATAAATTAAGATAAAAGAAAATAATAAACAAGTGATTTATTTGTTTGTATATTTTAGTGTAGTTAATTTTATTTATATTTAGTTAAATTTGAAATATAACATCAATAATCATTACTTAATTGATTTATACTTAATTATTAATTATAATTATACTTTTGGATCTCCATTCAATATAATAATAAGTATGTTTGTTTATGTATGAATGAAATTAATAATAATAATATAATTTTACATGTTACTACCTACCCACCCCGGCTTCGCACGGATGTACATATTCAATTCAAATTAAAAAAACATTTATTCATGTAGGACATTCTAGCCGCTTATGAACGTCAAATTTTTTACATTATAATTTTAATTTTTTTCCTACCGTCCAGTTCAGTATATAGATCCAATTGAGAAGAACTGGCAAGAAACTCAATTGAATTACTTTTTTTTTTAAAACCAGTTTATTTACAATGTATATTTATATAGGTGTCTATGTCTAACATTAAATGAAAATCCCGAACATGAAAACTATTGCCATGCACGCTCGTCATTCAAGTAATCGTTTAGTGAGTGACTTTGCTCTGTAAATATGATTTAACAGATGTTTTGAATTTATTTAAGGGTAATTCCAATATATTATATTATACACATAAACCTTCCTCAAGAATCACTCTATCTATTAAAAAAACCACTACAAAATCCGTTGCGTAGTTTTAAAGATTTAAGCATACATAGGGACAGACAGCGACAGCGACTTTGTTTTATACTATGTACCGGAGTCTTTGGGCGGTTATTTCTACCAATCTACATAAAGCCTTAACGAATTATACAATTTTGTTAGAAAACACTATGTTGATTTATGAAATTCACATGTTCAGTAGTTATTGAGATTATTAAGAACATATAGACAAAAGTGGCGGGAAATTTTATTTTGTAATATATATTCTATCAGACCCGGCCACGTGTTGCTGCGGCTAAGGTTCTTGAATAAAACAATATTGCGACTATAAATTGAGATGTAAGCTATCCTATCTTTCAAGTTGGATAAAATTGCACACAATGTGCAAATCAAATTTGCAATCTGTTCAGTAGTTTAGGAGTCCATCGCGGACACACAACGTGACACGTGATTTTTATATATAAAGATATATAGATAAAAAAAAATTGTCTACTTAAACGGCGGATGGAAATTTCACTGAATGTGATTTTTTTTATTTAAATATACGGATAGAAATGTGGACATGTCAAGTGTGCGTTCACAACATGGACAGTTGACAATGACTGACTACTCCATCAAAGATAACGGCCGTGACCGATACTACAGTGAAAGTACCAGGAGAACATGACTCGCAAGTAGGCTACAGCCTACCGCCCTCTATTGGCATCGATACTTGAAAATGACTGACTACTCCATCAAAAATAAGAGTCGTGAAGTTATCTCACTATTCCTGATACTACAGTAAAAGTACCAGGAGAATATGACTCGCTAGTAGGTTAGAGCCTACCGCCGACTATTAGAGTAATGTTTTTTTTATTCAAATATACGGATAGAAATGTGGACATGTCAAGTGTTGCGTTCACAACATCGACAGTTGACGATGACTGACAACCCCATCAAAGATAACAGCCGTGAAGTTATCTTACTATGACCGATACTACAATGAAAGTACCAGGAGAACATGACTCGCTAGTAGGCTACAGCATACCGTCGTCTATGAGATTTTTTTCTATTCAAATATACCGAGCAAAATGTAGGTTTCTAAAAGCTGCGTCCACAACATCGACAGTTGACGATGCTACAGCCTACCGCTCCATATTGGCATCGATAATTGACAATGACTGACTACTCCATCAAAGATAACAGTCGTGAAGTTATATCTCACTTTACTAAGACATTGATACTAACACTGATACTAAGGTCAAAGTACCAGGAGAAGATGACTCGCAAGTAGGCTACAGCCTACCGCCCTCTATTGGTATCGATAATTGAAAATGACTGACTGACTACTTCATCAAAAATAAGATTCGTGAAGTTATCTCACTATTACTGATACTACAGTGAAAGTACCAGGAGAACATGACTCGCAAGTAGGCTACAGCCTACCGCCGACAATTAGAGTAATGTGTTTTTTTTATTCTAATATACGGATAGAAATCTGGACCTGTCAAGTGTTGCGTTCACAACGTGGACAGTTGACAATGACTCTGACTACTCCATCAAAGATAACGGCCGTGAAGTTATCTTACTATACTGATACTAAGGTCAAAGTACCAGGAGAAGATGACTCGCAAGTAGGCAAGAGCCTAACGCCGACAATTACTCCATTGACTGATTACTCCATTCCTAAGTCAAAATATCTTTATTCATGTAGGTCTATTACAGACTCTTATGATATGTCAAATCTACCGTCAGTTCGGAATGATTTCGAGATGAGAAGAACTGACAAGAAACTCAGCTCGTATTCTTTTCAAATAAATGTTGTACATGTTTACAATAATACAGATTATTTAGAAATTCAAAGTTGTGAGAATGGAGTGATATTATATGCTATTGCAAAAGCAAATAGTCTAATCAGTGTTCGCAACGAACAGACCAGTCCCCACAAGCAGCACCCGTTCACGAGTATGACGCATTCGGAATGACAGTCGTAGTTATTGGTTTTTTTTATATTAATCCTGACCTTAATTTTAATGTAATTTTTATCTATACATCTATACATATAAATAAAATTCAGCGACTGTTTGTAATATTGAAATAACCGTTTTTTACTAAATGCCTATGAATATATATACGGTACATATACCAAAATAGCATTTTTTATAATTTTTGTCAGCCTGCCTGTCGGTCTGATTGTTCCGGCTAATCTCTGAAACGGCTGGACCGATTTTGACGGGACTTTTTTTGCAGTTAGCTGATGTAATAAGGAGTAACTCCGGCTAGTTTTATTTTAGAAAAATTATGTTAAATTCCACGCGGACGAAGTCGCGGGTACAGCTAGTATTACATAATTATGCACTTAGATCTCGAATTAATGTATCTGTGTACAAATGTACTGCAAATTATGGTTTTTACTTGTTAGTGCTACTGCATAGAACTGTGACATTGTTACTTGTATGAGTGAATTATCATTTTGTTAATTAAATGACATACTGTGAAATTTGGTTTAGATATTAAGAGTTAATTAATAACTGAGTTTAGTTTAATTTGATTTAGTTATTTAATGTGGTTAATAACTAGATGTTTTAAATATTGAGTTAATATTTTTCAACTAAATCACTCGTTACTCGACTAACTAACTAAATCAAATTGAATTATACTTTAAAAGTGTTCACTACTTGTAATGTTAATTTTCAAAAACAATGATTTTAAGTCCACATCCTTATTTTAATATTTCTTGAAAAACCCCAAGTCTCGTAAGAAAACCTTGGCTGGTAGTTTTTTTATGGGTTATAATGGAATGGTGCACCCGCCTGCGCTAACGGTTTACGCTGGCAGCACCAGTGGAGGATGATAAGATGAACATGAGGTCAGGTCAGTTAGATACAATAACAATCCAACGCGTTTACGCAAGAAACCCACATTTTGTAAATACTCACGTGAGATTGGGGTTGGGGGAGGGGGTTGAATATAATCTCACGACATCTCACTAGGGGGGGAGGGAGGTACAGAAAAACACCCCACGTAATTTATGGACGTCCCCTTGGGGCTTTGCGGCGAGATATTGCATCTCTGTGCATTTTCTACCGCCATATCACGGGGAGTGTTCTGAGGAATTGTTCGGATTAATACCAGCTGCTGAGTTACACCATCATACTGAAATACCATCCTGATCATCTGGCTGAATGGCGGTCTTCCATAGTGCGGTTTTCTAGAAACTTTCTGCCTCGCACAACCACATTGTAGAATCACCTTCCAGCAATGGTATTTCCGAACACGATATATTTCCGATACGATATTGAAACCTTGAAGAAAGAGCTTATTCCTTTTGAAAAGGCCGACAACGTACTTGCAATTCCCCTGCTGTTGCAGGTGCTCATGGGCGGCGGTAATCACTTACCATCAGGTGAGCCGCATGCTCGTTTGTCCCCTGTGCTATAAAAAAAAATACATAAAAAAACTAACCATCCAAAACTCCCTGTCTATGGTCAGCGGTGCGATGGTAAAAGGTAGCCATAGAGAATTTATTGTTTTTGAAAATTGACAAAGTGTATGTTGTGAGACTTGGACAGTGGATACTGTTAACTAGGTATAATTATTGACGGTCAACGGCGACCACCACCGTCGTATTGTGTATATATATATATATATATATATATATATATAGTAGTACGCATGTATGTATGTATATATAGTTGTAAGCAATGTGATATGATGTAGTCGAGTGTGTGTACCGAACCAAATCGAATAAAATATTTTCTAAAGAAAATCGTTTGCTGTTTTATTTTATAACTAGCTACTCGCCCCGGCTTGGCATGGGTGTGGTATCTATACATCTATACATATAAATAAAATTTGAGTGTCTGTTTGTAATATTGAAAAAAACATTTTTTACTACATGCCTATGAATTGAATACATGCATCAAAATAACATTTTTTATAATTTTTGTCTGTCTGTCTGTCGGTCTGTTTGTTCCGGCTAATCTCTGTAATGGCTGGACCGATTTCGGCGGGACTTTTTTTGGCAAGTAGCTGATGTAATAAGGAATAACTTAGGCTACTTTTATTTTGGATTTAGATATTCATTTTACAAAAAAACGTATAAAAATAAATTCCACGCGGACGAAGTCGTGGGAACAGATAGTTATATATATATATATATATATATATATATATATAAACCTTCCTTTTGAATCACTCTACCTATTTAAAAAAACCGCATCAAAATCCGTTGCGTAGTTTTAAAGATTTAAGCAATCAAAGGACAGACAGCGACAGCGACTTTGTTTTATACAATGTAACGATGATGACCAGCTGGCTAGTACTATTTGTACGGTACAATAATAACCCTGGACAATTTACACAGCGCCATCTAGTCCTAAGGTAAGCATAGAGAGATAGAGAGATAGCAAGGTAAGATAAGAGAAATAGCTCAAAATGAAAATTCTCAATTTTAGCAACATTATTCTTTGTCGCTCAGTTCCTAAGAATGTTAGCATAATGATATATTTATATATATCATGATGCCTATAGACTATGAAGCCTATAGACTTCCTTGATAAAGGCAATCAGAAATAGAAATAATGTTTATTCAAATAAACTCGTTACAAGCACTTTTGAATAGTCATATTTTGATTCTACCACTCATTCGGAACGCGGACTCATCACAAGAAGAACGAGCGAGAAACTTGTGTGTTGCTCTTTTGAACAGTTTTTCTTATATAATAATTACAGTATAACAAGTAAGAGGCATGCGATGATCAACATAAAAATCGCTACACACTCATTATTAGTGTGTATGTAATCCTAGACTAATATTAACACTTAAGCCGAAAAATAAAGAAATTTTCTTCAGTGGTTGATGTATACATACGTAGTATAATATATTTAGTTTAGTTTTTTTATGTATGATAATGTAATGGTGCACCCGCCTTCGCTAACGGTTTACGCTGACAGCACCTGTGGAGGATGATAAGATAAGAGCATGAGGTCAGGTCAGTCCAACATGAGGGAGAAATCAAACTGACATGGTACATTGCCAGCAATAAAATCATCAGACCACATTACTAACAATCGCTTTTTAGGTTGTGTTTTTTTTATATGATGGTGCACTCACCCGCGCTAACGATTTACGCTGTCGGGCAATAGTGGAAGATGATAAGATGAGCATGAGGTCAGGTCTGTTAGCACATCGTGATAAGTTCACCTGGAATTTATCACGATGGTTTCCAGGGAGAACCACGTGGAGGTCAACCTGACCATGGTACATAGCCAGCAATGGGGCCGTTAGCCCCAATCCCCATTCCTCCCTTTAGCATTTTCTAGTAGGGCTCCAGTGTTGTTATGAACGAAAACGATGTCTAAGTTAAATTGTGGCGGATTTACCAAAAATTAACAATAACGTTTCCGAGGGAAAGCGTATGGTAAAAAAAAAATTCCATATTCAGCCAATCAATTTATAATGAAATTAAAAGTAGAACACCATTCTCTATCTATGTCATTTTAGTTTTTTATTCTGCATCCACGTCATTCGCTGTCGTCATATTAGCGAATGACATCTCTACTAGAGATGTGCTAACTCGTAATAAACATGAATCGAATTAACTCGAGTTGAAATTTCAACTGGAATAAGTAGTTTTTTTTTTATTTATCGAACAAGTTTAATGTTTTTGGTCGCAGCTAGCCTTGAAAGCTTCAACGAAGCATAGGGGGCGAGTAGAAATAGCACTTCAAAGCCGCGGAAGGACTTATGGAACTCATAATCATTTCATTTTATTGATCTCAAATCAATATTGAAACATTTGTGACGACTGAAAATTGTATGATATGAAATGATCGGAAATTTACATGTCATTCTCGGTTCTACGACAGAATCATGCTCTGGCTCTTTAATTTGATTCATTCATTTACCAATTGAATTCTTCCAATTCGGGTTGGCAGAATTCAACTCGAGTTAACTCGAATTCACCGCAACTCGAGTTATCAACATCTCTAATTCCTAGTCATATATGTCATTTTTCAAACCAAATGTCAGACTGTCGACCTAAAACAAACATTCTTGTATTATAATTTATTCGTATTGAAATTGGTAACAAAATATTGATAGGTCATTATTTAGGTAACCAATTTACCTTATAATCCATTTAAACAATTGTGTATGTGTAAATTTAATTAGCTAACTCATTACTTTGGTTAACTTGACAAAATATTTCATCAACGTCCAGTGCTATTTCCCAACGTTTCATATACAGGAAATTGATAAATTTAATCTCGCTTTTTAGGTATTTGACTGCATTATACAATATAAAATGGATACATTGATCGAGGAAGAAACGGAGTCACAATGGACGATGTTCAATCCGATTACATTCGGTGAGTTCTGTAATTACAAATAAATAATTCTCGATGTTTACACGTGACCTTCATTAAAACTTATTAATATTATATACGCGAAAGTTTGTGACTATGGATGTATGTTTGTTACTCTTTCACAAAGACTACAGAACGGATTTTGATGAAACTTTACATAGGCTATAATTTTTAAAAAATATGTAATTTGTGCTATATATTATGATAAGTATGATGCAGACGAAGTTGTGTGAGTCAGCTAGTTAATAATAAATATGGGGAATATCATTGTAATTGCAAAAAATAATACTATAATATACATACAAGCTCCAAAAACAGATTATCAAAACTGTGCTGCTGTAAAATAATCATAATTGTAATTTTTGACTTGTGTTGGGTAAAAAAGGGAAACTAAGGGCCAACCTGGTTTGTGTCGTCCCCAGGTCTTATTATACGTGTAGCCGTTTCACTTTAAAACGCACAACACTACGATGAATTTCACTGGATGATGTACTAATCAGATGATTGCGCGGAGATCGCGGCTGATGGTTCCGTTAACGTTGATTTGCGTGTGCTCGATGCGACATACAACGAACAATTCATTTTGTTGATGCTACCCCCAGATTTGGTGGATAAAAATAGGAGTAGGATTTAGGGTAGTAACATATTGCAAGTTAGCTAGAAATAAGTAGATTTATATCAACCAACTTGTATTGTTGTTATTTGTTAACCTCCAGCAGTCTAGCACACCACCTTACTTCCTATAGTTGTGGGTTCAATTCCTCATTTGCTCTCATGAATATAATTGTTTGTATCAATCTGGATGATTTCTAATTATGTATATACAAAAAAGCTATTTAAATATTTGTATCAGTTGTCTAGTACTCATAACACAGTTTTTCTCTATATTGGAGCTAAATTACGCTGTGTGAATTCAAATTCAAATTCAAAATATCTTTATTCACATAGGTCTATTACAGACTCTTATGATATGTCAAATCTACCGTCAGTTCGGAATGATTTCGAAATGAGAAGAACTGACTCAGCTCGTATTCTTTTCAAAAATAAATGTTGTATATGTTTACAATTCATTTTTAAATTCAAAATTAGGAGAATAGAGTGACCACCAGCATATGCTATTACAATTTTGTCAAAAAGCAAATAGAGTAATAAGTGTTCGTAACCCAAACAGACCGTCCAATCATAATATCTATGTCGAATATGACAATCCGTCATACTCGTGAACTGGTGCTGCTTGTGGGGACTACAAGCAGCACCAATTCACGAGTATAGCCATCATTGCACTCAACCATATTAGAGGGACCACATCAACCCTTTTTTATGGATATAAATAAATATATAATTTATTTGCTTCCACATTTACAGTGTTAGGTACAAATGTTCACCTCATGTACAGGGGGCATGCAATTTATTATATATTTTTATTTATTTATTTCAATTCCACAATAATAAACAATAAACTTATTATTCAATGTTTTAAATTTAACGCAGTCATTATTAATATATAACTAGCTGTTCCCGTGACTTTGTCCGCATGGAATTGAACTTTATTTTTCTAAAATAAAAGTAGCCTAAGTTACTCCTTATTACATCAGCTACCTGCCAAAAACGTCCAGTCAAAATCGGTCCAGCCATTTCAGAGATTAACCAGAAGAACAGACAGACAGAAAATGTTATTTTGGTGTATGTACCGTATTTATATTCATATACATGTAGTAAAAAACGATTATCTCAATGTTACAAACAGACACTCCAATTTTATTTATATCTATAGATATGCTTATAATATAAAGTGCTGTTACTCTCAGTTCTACAGTTGCTGGCCACGTACGGCTGGTTCATGCTGGGCGCTGCTGCAGCAGGACTCTATCTGTACCAGAGGTTCAGGCCACGCCTGCAGAAATGGCAGCAAGCGAGAGAAGATGCAGAGTATCATAAAGGTATTTTCATATATATATTTTACTAGGTACTTTCACCAGCTTCACACAGGTAGATTATGTATTATATATATATACATACTAGTAGTCATGGCCAGCTATTGGCTGGTGGCTATGGCAATAAAATAATATTGCGACTATAAATTGAGATGTAAGCTATCCTAGCTTTCAAGTTAGATCAAATTGCTCACGCCTCAGCGGCATAATCGCGTCACAAATAGTAATAGAGATAAAGAGGCTGCGAACAAGGAGGGAGCGGGCTGCTCTCTCTCTGTTCGAGGCGACCGAGACGACCACACGTGAATGTACAGCGACGCAATTTATGTGGAGTGTAATTTGAAAAAGAAATAAAATAAAAGTACTGCTGCATCGACGTATCATTTCTGAAACTTCCCAATAATAAATATATTTTTTATTGAGGATGTTAATGGAATGGTGCACCCGCTGAGCAGCGGTATACGCTGGCAGCACCAGTGGAGTATGATAAGATGAGCATGAGGTCAGATCAGTTGACAAATTCACGGGGAATTTATCCCGAAGGTTTCCAGGGGGAACCGCGTGGAGGTCGACCTGACATTGTTAGCAATGGGTTCATTACTCCACCTTGCTAACAATTCCGTTCCCCCCTAATAAATATATTGTACTTCATTAAAATACTATAAAATATATCTTCAGATCCGGACAGGGTGGTGGCCCGCATGGAGGCCATACAGCGCGCCAGGGACAAGCAGCAGCAGGAGCTACTGGAGGCCTCGCAGAGGATGCTCGAGCAACAGAAAGAGGTACCAGATTTTTTTCCAGCCTACAAGGGGCAAATCTTTAAATAGGCAATAAATACGGAAATTTAATAGAATAGAATAGAATAGAATAGAAAATCATTTATTCAAATAAACTTAATTTAAGCACTTTTGAATAGTCATATTTTGATTCTACCACTCATTCGGAATGCAGACTCATCACAAGAAGAACGAGCGAGAAACTTGTGTGTTGCTCTTTTTAATAGATGTTTTTTTATATACGGATAGTGATATGTGCGTAATAAAACTGTAATGTAGGGCCCCACCGCTGAGCAGTGGGGCCCTATTTTTTTATTTGCCCCAGGGCCCTTGGTTACCTAACTACGCCACTGTGCTCGAGGAGAGATAATTTTGCTTATCTGCAGTGTCCTATATGAATAAATAATTTTGAATGAAAGAAATAGGATTGTTAGTAATGTAGACTTGTGACCCCATTACTAACAATGTACCATGTCAGGTCGACCTCCACGCGGTTCCCCCTAGAAACCATCGTGATAAATTCCCCGTGAATTTGTCACGATGTGCTAACTGACCTGACCTCATGCTCATCTTATCATCCTCCACTGGTGCTGTAAACCGTTAGCGCAGGCGGGTGCTCCATTACATTCATTATCATCATCATCATCATCATCATCATCATCATCGCAGCCCGGAAGACGTCCACTGCTGGACATAGGCCTCCCCCAAAGATCTCCACGACGATCGGTCCTGCGCTGCTCGCATCCAATGCCTTCCAGCGATCTTGACCAGATCGTCGGTCCACCTTGCTGGAGGTTGCTCCATTACATTATCATCCATAAAAAAAACATTTTGATTTTGTCTTGGTATTTGCAGCGTGAGGAACAAAAGCGAGCGGAAGCGGCTGAACGACTGCAGAAGTACGGAACTGCGGCGTCTGCCGGACACCGGCTTGGAGACGACGCTGGTGAGTTGCAGAACTGCTGTCAGTGACACCAATAACCTTGGTGGACTAGCGGTTTACTACCGATAGTCGCGGGTTCGATTCCTCGCAATACGAGAGCAACACATACGAATAATAATAATTTATTTATTTGCTCAAAAAACACTATAAAACAATAGAATAGAATAGAAGATCTTTTATTCAAATACTAAGTGTATTGAAGCACTTCTGAATAGTCATCACATTTTTTTATTCTACCGCTCATTCAGAAAGCTGTCTCATCACAAGAAGAACGAGCAAGAAACTTGTGTGTTGCTCTTTTAAATAATCCTTGTAAGTTTACATTTACAAGTCGAAACATGTGAATACAAACTACCAACCAGCACTAAGTTTCTCGCTCGTTCTTCTTGTGATGAGTCTGCGTTCCGAATGACTATTCAAAAGTACTTGTAATGAGTTTATTTGAATAAAGATTATTTCTATTTCTACTTCTAATAAGTGTATTTGTTTTAGTCCACACTACTTCAATAGAATTTCAATTCAATAGAGTTTCTTGCCAGTTCTTCTCAATTGAATCTGTATACTGAACTGGACGGTAGGGAAGAAATATTAATACAAGAAGAAGAATGAGCAAGAATCTTGTGTGTTGCTCTTTTGAATAGATGTCTTTGTTATAATATTTATTATTGACTACTTGTTCCCTCGACATCCTCCGCGTGGTATTTAACTTTATTTTTCTAAAATAAAAGTAGCCTAAGTAACTCCTTATTACATCAGCTACCTGTCAAAAAATGTCCCGTCAAAATCGGTCCAGCCATTTCAGAGATTAGCAGGAACAAACAGATAGACAGACAAAAATTATAAAAAATGTTATTGTGGTGTATATACCATATTTATATTCATATGCATGTAGTAAAAAACGGTTAATTCAATATTACAAACAGACACTCCAATTTTATTTATATGTATTGATAAATATATAACAATATCTGCTTCAGTAATCAATCGTGTAAATATATTTGGTTGCAGACTACCTGCCGCTGAGTGGCGGAGCCTCCACGTCCTCGTACCGTCCTCCCAAGCGCTCCAAGTGCGGCGGCGGCGGCTGCGGACGGTAGACCCACCGTCCACCGTCACCCACCATCCACATATAGAAAATGAAGAGCTATATATTATACTTTTGAATGAATTAACCTCCGTTCCAATAGAATTTATGAAAAAGGTAAACAAATAATTTCTGGTCAAAAATTACTTACTAAATGTAAATAATTTTTTTTTACGTAACGTATTTATCTGACTCTTGAGGGTATTAACTATATATATATTTGTATATATAAAAATCACGTGTCACGTTGTTTGTCCGCGATGGACTCCTAAACTACTAAACGATTGCAAATTTGATTTGCACATTGTGTGCAATTTGATCCAACTTGAAAGATAGGTTAGCTTACATCTCAATTTATAGTCGCAATATTGTTTTATTCAAGAACCTTAGACACAGCAACACGTGGCCGGGTCTGATAGTATTCATATATATATACAATTTTTTTGCCTTCAAAATAAAGTCGACGCCGCTGTCTGTTCGTATCTCTTAAATTACGCAACAGATTAGATAGAATGATTCAAAAAGAAACTTTATATGTATAATAAATGTACACCCGTGCGAAGCCGGTTTTGGTAGATAGTTATTAATAAATAAGTTAGTATAGCTATTATTAAATCATATTACATATGTCAGACATACTGACGTAGCGACGTAAAGCAAATCTAATATTCAATACAATTATTGTCTGTTGATTCATTATACTATTGGTCATCAGTAGTCTATGGTCGGGTTAATGACCTTTTTGTTTACCTTTTTCATAAGCTCTACAGTATGGTCGCTCAGAGTTTGCGTTTCTGCCATGTCGGGATCGAATAGACTTTGACTTTGACTTTAACTTTGAACTGACGTACAATTTACGGCAAAATTATAAATATCTTTTTATCTGTTTATTAACGAGTGATAACGTTAAAATTTTAATAATTATACCAACTTACAATAAACATATTAATTTTGACATATTTTTAATTCTAAAAACAATAGTTATTAAAAGTTACTTCAAACAGCGCTGTTTCAAGGTTATGTCAACTGATTTTGTAGTGATGTGACGAAATAATCTTGAAACGACGAAGTTTGATATGGTATGAGTTTTGAAAACTATGTATGTACGTCAATTCAAAGTTACATCGCGTATTAGATGTAACTTTGAATTGACGTACTGTCAGAAATGCAAACTGAGCGGCCGGAACTTAGTTGGAAGTAATAATTCATTCATTCATTCATTCTATAATAATACTAAATATATTAATTTCTGAATTCTCAAATATATCTGCTTTAACATTGGTAACATGTGGTTCGTGTAGCCATAATAATAAATTTAATTAATTTACAAATTGACTTTTTATTTTGATTTATCATACACCTCGCTGGTCTAGCGGTCACATTGTTACTTCCGATGGTCCGGGGTTCGATTCCTCGATGCTAGATGTAAATAGAATAGAATAGAAAATCATTTATTCAAATAAACTTAATTCAAGCACTTTTGAATAGTCAACATTTTTTTCTAATCCACCGCTCATTCGGAAAGCTGTCTCATCACAAGAAGAATAAGCAAGAAACTTGTGTGTTGCTCTTTTAAACAATCCTTGTAAGTAAATATAAATCGGTGTCCAGTCTCCACAATCAGCCCCTCATCTGAGTCGTTGTACATGTACAGCCGAGACTACTAAAGTAGTCAGCCAAGCTCCTCCCTAAAGCGCTGAAATCTGGTTTTCACGGAACAGGCTTCACGGAACGACCTCACCGTTCCGAGGACTTATCTCGACGCTAGATGTTTGGGTGTTTTCTCTTCTATCATATATATTATAGATCTTATATCTTATATATAAAATTCTCTAAAAATTTAGACTAAATTTTTAGTTTCTATTATTTTATGATACAACATACAAAAATACATACAATCCTAAATTTTCACCCTTCTATCATCAACCCCTATTTTTTTATAGCGTTATTAATTTATATGGCAAAACAACGTTTGCCGGGACAGCTAGTAATAATAATAATAATAATCTCAGGACAATTCACACAGCGCCATCTACACCCAAGTTAAGCTAGCTAAAGCTTGTGTTATGGGTACTAGACAACCAATACAAATGCATAGATATTTTTTTTTCGTAAATACATACATAATATATGTAGAAAACACCCAGACCGATACAAAAAATCATACTCATGAATACAAATGTTTGTGCCGTGCGAGGAATCGAAAATACCCTATATATAGAAAATACCCTATTAAGGTTTCTTAAGGGACGGTAACACGCACGTGACACCCCTGGTGTTTCAGGCTTTCATAGGCTACGGTAACCGTTTACCATCAGGTGGGCCGTATGCTAGTTTGCTACCTATTTAGTAAAAAAAAAGAAATATGACTATTCAACAGTAGTTATATTAGAAATAATGTGTGTGTTTAGTTTGCTACCTATTTAGTAAAAATATAGGAATATGACTATTCAAAAGTAGTTGTATTAAGTTTATTTGAATGTACATTTTTTCTATTATTTATAGGCATACTTCATATGGAGTCTGTGCGTGTTTGTCTCATGTACTGCAGCCAGGACTAGGGTATGTAAGTTTTGTTTCTATTTAAAGGTGACATATAGCAGTACAATTGACTGCACTGGTTGGCACTGAATTGGTTTAGCACACCGCCTTACTTCCGATGGTCGCGAGTTCGATTCCTCGCACGGAACAAACATTTGTATTCATAAGTACTGTTTGTATCGGTCTGGGTGTTTTCTATATATAATTGTATCAGTTATCTAGTACCCACAATACGTTTTAGCTAGCTTAACTTGGGACTAGATGGTGCTGTGTGAATAGTCCTGAGATTATTATTATTATTAAACTATATGAATAATTTTATTGCAGTGTGTCCTATACTATATAATTGAACATTTGAAATATAAATTATAACTTTAAAACCTTACTAAGTTTTCTACCACACTATGTAAGTTATTAAAGTATCTAATTTTAAAAAATTTTGCTAAACGCCTGATCAATTTACATTAGCAAATAGTTTAATCTTTAGTTTTGTGCTAATAGATAATTGACAGTTATCATTTATTTTCTATGTACCTTGTTAATAATAATAATACATTTATTTGTCAGAACATGGTATGTACAATGGTGGTAATTATATATAATATATGTTTCATCATATTCTGCTGTTTCCAGCGTACAAATATTAATTCTGTAATCCAAGCATTATAAATTCTAAACATTAGTCATTCACCATAACTTCTTACTTTAAAAACATTATGGAATATAATAGAATGTCAATATTTCATTTTATATTAATATTACCTGTGCCCGCGGTTTCACTCGCGTGAAATTTATAGCCTATATGTATGTCTGATGTACCTATTATCTATATTACTAAAAAGTTTCATCAAAATCCGTTCAGTAGTTTTTGCGTGAAAGAGTAACAAACATCCACACTCAAAAACTTTGGTGTCTCTAATATTACGAGCCGTGCCCGCGGTTTCGTCCGCGTTAACTTTCAATAAAAAATGTAACCTATGTGTTATCTTGATGCATAAGCTATAAAACTGTAAAGTTTTATCAAAAAGTAGTTTTTGCGTGAAAGAGTAACATCCATCCATATTCAGAAACTTACGCGTTTATAATATTATTAAGATAAGATTGTTATCAAATTTTTAAGTCACTCTTCACAGCCCTTTGTATCGAGTATGACGGATTATACGATTTTTCAAGAAAACTTTCCTTAATTCCATCTTAAATCTTTATATATAAAAATCACGTGTCGCGTTGTGTGTCCGCTATGGACTCCTAAACTATTGAACCGATTGCAAATTTGATTTGCACATTGTGTGCAATTTGATCCAACTTGAAAGATAGGATAGCTTACATCTCAATTTATAGTCGCAATATTGTTTTATTCAAGAACCTTAGATACAGCAACGCGTGGCCGGGTCTGATAGTCCTTACTCCTTACTAATATTGTAAATGCGAAAGTAACTCTGTTTGTCTGTCTGTCTGTCTCGCTCTCACGCCTAAACCACTGAACCGATTTAAATGAAATTTGGTACACAAATAGTCTAGACCCTGACAAAGGACATACTACTTTTTAATAAGAAAAAAGGGTTGCAAGGGGTTGAAAGGGATCATGAAAGGTTCTAAAAAGGAAGTATCGTCATTTTACGCGGACGTAGTCGCGGGCGCAACTAGTTAAGCATAAGGCGTGGTTACATGACCAGCTCCAACTGACCACTACAAACGTGAACGCATTATGTTTTGGCCGATCCACTTTCCAGACGGCAATAACTCGTGTCTTACGAAATAGGAAATCAAACGAAACTGACAATGGCGCTCCTAAAGCAGAAATAAACGAAGGAAATTTCAAAATGCTCATTTTCATAGTACAGTGTACTGTATGTTGTTATTTGATTGACAAGCGGACAATGAAATAGTTCTATTAAAGTAAAAAATATCTTTATTCGTGTAGGTCTATTACAGACTTATGATATGTCAAATCTACCGTCAGTTCGGAATGATCTCGAGATGAGAAGTGACAAGAAACTCAGCTCGTATTCTTTTCAAATAAATGTTGTACATGTTTACAATAATACAGAGTCATTTAAATTCAAATTTGTGACTATTCTCACAAATTTATATTTTTAAGTTTGTGTCAAAATGGGCTCGACGACCTCAGTGGTGTAGCGGTTTGGCACCTCGCTTTACTTCTATTGGTCGCGGGTTCAAATTCAAATTCAAAATCAAAATATATTTATTCATGTAGGTCTATTACAGACTCTTATGATATGTCAAATCTACCGTCAGTTCGGAATGATTTCGAGATGAGAGGAACTGACAAGAAACTCAGCTCGTATTCTTTTCAAATAAATATTGTACATGTTTACAATAATACAGATTATTTGTGTAAACATGATATTGCAAAACAAATTTTTTTTTTTTTTACATTAATACAGATTCATTTAAATACACAATTTGTTTTGAGAATTATGACCACCAGCATATGATATTGCAAAATACTATAATATAATAGTCTAATCAGTGTTCGTAATGAACAGATCTGTCTTAGTACCACACATTAGCAGTATAGATTCATTTGTATAGATTCAGATTTGTTTTTTATATATACATTTTATATTTTGATCTGTTTTTATATATTAAAAATGCGAAAGCAACTAAGAACGTCTCATTTTTGTTGCGTAACAATCTTTTATGCCAAAACTACTGAAACCATTTAAATATTTCAATGAAATTTGGTACACAGATAATCTAGACCCAAATTGGTCTATATCGACCCCCAGGGGTCTATGACAAACTGCAGGGGGTCTACGATAGGGGTCGTCTTGTTGTTTTTAACACTAAACTTTACTACAGTTAGAAATTTACTAAAAATAAATATCAGCTAAGAATGGAGGGGTCTACCCAAAACTGAAAAATATGGAAAAGGGTCTACGACACAAAAACATTTGGGGCCCTCTGGTTTAGACCCTAGACATAGATTTTTTAATGCGAAGAAAGAGCTGTGAGGTTTGAAGGGGGACATGAAAGATTGTATGACAGTATCATCATTTTTAAAACTAGACGCTTGAAACTTATATTTCAGGCTGTGGATTAAATATAAATAAATATGACATCCAAAGTTTGTAAAAAATTTACCCTTAAGAGGGTAAAAGAAAATAGTGGATTACAGTTTGTTTGGAAATTCGTTATTTTTGAAGATAAAACTTTTTTCATTGCCATTTTGTAATTAGCCTGAATAATTAAAAATGCTGCTCAAGGTCATTATTCCACGCGGACCAATTCGCGGGCACAGCTAGTAATGATATAAATATAA